TGGGCCGGATCCGGCTGCCCGAGTCCCCCGCGCGACCCAAAAGCCTCCGCGCGAGCTCTTTTCAAGCGCCAAAATGCCACCACGTGCCTCCGAAACGAGCATGGAGTGGTTTCCTCAGTTTGTGGATGCCATGCGTGAGCACCGCGCGGCGTCATGGGTGATCCAGTGCGTGGCCGTCAATCCCACTCGGATCCGGCTACCTGAGTCCCCCGCACTACCTGATTGCAACACAAACACTCACAAATCTATCTGAGCTCCATTTACCCACCCGCCTTTTCTTCCATGCATTCAAGGCATCAGATGTCATATTTCTATGCTACTCACAGGACGTTGGCTCAAGCCTCCCTCATGTTATTCCCCGCCCGCACCCCGGTCTGATCGGACGACTCCTCCAGACTACCCGAGGCGACCTGATCGGGCGACTCCGCCGAGGTACCTGGCCGGACCTGATCGGGCCCGGCCGGACGGTACCTTCGGGGTATTTTGGGATCCGGTCAGCCGACTTACCCGGCTGAAGTAGGGACATGCACTGTCAAGAGAGGGTGTAATAAGTGGATACAGACCGAGACAGAACGTGTCGAAACGGGGGACGCTGTCGGGTTCCCCGTTTTACTAAGCTTCCACAGACTACTACAAGACCGACCGCGCCGCGCACGCGACCCTCATACTGGGCTGGAACCTGAGCACTCGTTCGCTATCATTGTATTTCACTCTCCTTCAATCACTCTCTCTCTTCATCGCAGTTCACTAGCTAATATCCCACTCGTTCTAAAGTAGCGTCCGTCGCGCCCTACGAGCAGAACCGATGCCTCGATAGCCCGCTCGAATGACGTCGGGATGCTAGGGCCGGGCCAGGACAGATGCACGCGACCGCGGCTGAACGGGGGCGGCCTGCGCTCTGTAAATAATCGCTGTGCGCTGTTCTCACCCCGCTCGAGACATTCCCCAACGTACCTCAAGCAGCGCCGGAGTCGATGGTTGAGGGTCTGGGGAACGCAAGGACGGTGCGTGGACGAGAGGCCTCGGCCATGGACTCTGGACCCGATTTGGACTGTATGCGCTCTTCCCTCAGTTTCTGTTTGCTTTCTATGTGACGAGGCGACTAGCTCTCTTAAATGTACGGGCTCAGGCCCCACGCAATCTAGTTCCCCTTTCCCTCTCTCCCTCTCTCTCTCTCTCTCCCACGTCTCACCCTCTACCACGCGCGCTCTCATCCCGTACCGTCGACCTCCACTCTGTATGCGGATGATGAGTTTGAACATCGCGTGCAGACGTTGGAAGACATTATGCGGGACACGGACGGGGGTATGGAGGTGGCAGTAGTTTGTAAGGCACGGATTTCGGCTTCAATGCTACGACGATGTGCTTACATGTGCGCTTCAGGCCATTGAGATGGGCCTTGGAGGTCTCATCAAAGTGAAGAAGAACAAGGGCGGGAGCGTCACCTTCCCCCATGGCCGCTGTAGCATCCCACATCGGGCGAAGAAGTCGTGGGGCTGGCACCTGGTGAGTCACATTCTATTACACGTGCGAGGGCAAGCTGACGGAGCGTTGCTGAAACATGGCACAGAGGCGGGGGGGAAAGGACAGACGGGCAAGAAACAGTCGGGTAACGGGAAGATATTCCGATAGAAGATATTAGACGGGTGAGTGCTTCCGCACAGGTTGGGGGACAAGCCCATCCGCGCCCTTGACCTGGGGAACGTCCAACTTGGATTCAACGTCGCGGAGTGGGACCGGCTCTGCGCTCTCGACTGGGAGCGCCCTTCGTAGAGGGCGTATTAATGATTTGTTTCGTAGAATACTTCATACTATTCGTGCTCTGGCAAGTACGCGCCGGCGGCCCGTGAGACGCGTGTCCGAAAAAGCGGATCGACCCGCACGTCATCGAGGCACTGGCTGTGCTCGAGGAACACCTCCTCACAGTCCCTGGCCCTTCTGCCTCACTCGGCCGTCCCGGTCTGCGCGGCGAGCGTGAGGTGCGTACTCACCGTTTCCGGCCTCATCCCTCCTCATCCTCACCCCTACGACCGTCAACGCACACACCAGGAATCGACGCCAGAGCTCTCCCTCGACCCCCGCCTCCTCGCAACGCTGCTCCATTCTCTACGACAGGGTCCACGGCGCGGGCTGCTTTCCACCCCGCGCGGCTTCGTCCTCATCCACCTCCCTCTTCTTGGTCCGAGGCCAGGGTAAATCATAGAAAGGCCACCCCACTGAAGTGTGTCGTATAAATGCGAGGTCCCAAGTATAAAGTACGACAAATCGGAGGACGGCAGCGACAGCGATGGTTTGACAGGTTCGGCCAAAGAATTGCATACGTATGCTATTGGATGGTTGAGATATCTCCGAGTGACATGCTCTATGTAGGGCAGCGCCGGCATATTTCCCACAAAGCGTCGAAGTGGGGATGAAGCTCGACGCCGGGCAAGCTTATGAACAGTCTGTAAAAGCATGCCTCCCATGATGCTCTCACGACAAACCGGCGCGGTTGCATTCTCCAGGCGTTTTGAATCGGGTCCCAAACAAGCACCTCTTGAAGTCCGAGCAGCTCGAGAATGTCGCGGATACCGAATAATTCACCGAGGGGGACGTGTGCGGTTAGATGGGATATGGATGCAAATCGGAGGAGGGGGAGTTCGCCGTTCTATGTGACTATCAGCAAAGTGTCAGGAAGCTAAGAGTATGACTTACCGCCACCCATATAAATATCCCGAAATACCACTTTTCCCCTCCTTCCACCTCGAGAGAGTTTTGTTCATAGGCTAGTGACGCCATGACCTCGGACACCCGGTCCCCGAGACGCTGCACTACAGCCTTCATGAGCGTTTGCGAGACAGGTGTATTTCCGAAGGAGAGTGGGTTGGTCGAGGTGTCATAGCGGTCTCGTATGTCGCATGGGTCTTCTTCCGTAAGATCGACAGATTTCTGCTAAAAGGTTATCCCCAGGGTAAGCAGCAATACCATCAGAGGTACGGCGTCAACTGCCTACTGTGTTTGTAGTTAGCTAACAGAGGCGGTCAGCAAGTCAACACGTAGCATCATAGACGGAAGGCTTACTTCGTCGCCTGTAACAACAGAATACTCACGCGGAAAGATCGCACGTTGGACTGCCAGACGAGATACAGGTTCAGAAACGGGGGGCAGAAGCTGCCGGAGCACGAAATATGTGGGCGTAAGTGGCGAGGACGAAGCCTCCTTGTTGTAGACCCACCTCATCCACTTCTTGCACTGCGGTGATCTGAAGTTGGTCCGCTGTCAATGGCAGCTCCCACGTGTCGTCTATGTTGGACTAGAACGCAACTTCAAAACTCGGAAGACATGAAACAAGATCTACGGCTCACCTTGCGGGGATTTGCAGTGAGGACGCCGTTGTCTTCACAGTCATCGTCGGAGTCGATCTCAATGGCTTCCCCATCAGAGGTAGTCATTTCTGGAGACCCAAATTGATCGAGTATGAAACGTTCGACGGCATCGAAGTCGACCATGGCTGAAGGGAGTGAAAATCACATAGGCCATTCGACAATTTTATAGGTGTCCGGAATGCGACGTCATAGATAAGAAACAGCGAAACACTTTTCATTGGAAATCGTGGTGATTGGCGATAAGGACGACAGAACGCGTGGAAAACAAAGCACATCGGAGGGAAGAAGTTCATCAAGGCGATAGAAGTGTTAAAGATGCCAGCCACGTGTAGGACAGGTATTGGGGTGGGCCGGCGAGTTGGACAAAGGTATCAAAGTACTGTGATGGTACCACACGCGACGAACCTACTCACTGTCCGCGGGTCGCTCGTCGAGCATTCCACACAGCTGCGAGACGGGTAGTAGAGACTCCGCAGACTCCAGAGTGGGGAAGTTGGACTGGAAGTTGGCCCACCGCGGCGTGACATCGATCGTCTGGAGGAAGCGCTCGGCTTTGTCACTGTTGATGACCTTGAAGGGCTTCGCAGACATTGCCGTCCCGATCGGAGTCCTGCCTCGACGGCTCGTTTTTGACGAGGGCTACACTCGAGCCCGTCTGGGGATGCCTTCAACTCTCCGCCTCCGCCACGGTCCTTCCCCAAGGCATCAAGCTCACCGTAACATCGACCACGACCGGCGGCGGCTCCTCGGTCCACCCCGCCGACCCTCCAGCGTCCCCTCCGACCCTCCAGCACCCCGCCTGCCCCAAGCGCCGTCGCCAACTTACCGCTGCTCTGTGCCACTCCGGTGTCCCTGATCTGGTCCACCTGACCGCCTGCCGGTGCGGCTCCACTCTTGGTGAGCTGCATCGTCTTTGTGCTTGTGGTCCTTTGTCCAAACGTTCACTCTCCCCTCCCCCGCGTCCCTTTCTGCAGTCCGTCACCGTGAACCGGTCTACGTTTGTCCCCCAACTAGCGCGCGTTCGCTCCGCGAGCCCCCCCGCCGTGACGCCTCTCCGCGCTTCTTTGTTCACTCTCCACTCCTCCCCCGCATCCTCCACCTAGCGCGCGTTTGCTCCGCGTCGCGACGCCCCTCCACGCCCCTCCACGCCCCTCCACGCCCCCTCCACGCCCCCTCCACGCTCGGAAAGTCCCTCCTCCTCCACGACGCTCCGCTCCCAGCCAGTCCTTCACTTCTTCCGTACCCGTTTTGATGTACTTTGTAAGGCTCCTTTTCCCAATTTTAGCCTTGTCATCGCTGTCTCACGTCGTTCATTGCTCTCATTGTTTGCAATCACTCATAGAATGCCACATCTTTCACTTTAACGCACTTTGTGTGTGCCTTGGCTTTCGGAGCATGCATGATACTATGCCACCCTTCCTTTCTGTTTGCCTTACGAGAGTCTTCCAGGTGTCTCAATGAGTGACAACGCTACATGCTGAATGCCGGTATGCCCAAAGTATGCCTGAATGCTACGCCGCTTGCAAGACCATCATCTTCCACGGCTGTTTCACGAGAAGCCGTCCTCGCAGCTATATTACAACGGGATTGCGCCACAGTTCCAGGTCCGTTCGAGCTCCGTAAAACAACGTACGCATGCCTGTACCGGACGACAAGACTGCTGGTGAGTCCGAGTTATGTATACTTGACGCATACGAGCCGCTCAGTGAAGAAGATTCAACTACGCCTCCGGGCTCCCCGCCGCTCCGTCTCCCACATGGCGATCGATTGTGTGATATTTCTACCACCATGGTTTCCACCACTCCTCTGGGCACCCCACCGCGGGACATCCGGTTTCGTTTCGCGACGGATCATAAAAGTGTGAATAGTGAGTACCTGCCACAACTTCTATGAGGTGCGTTTGATGACCTACAATTAGGCGTGGTTACTGTGGGGCCAGTTCATAGCAGTGGAATCCTCCGCGTCGTGGATTTGGACATCGAGATGGCCGACGTGGATCAAGACCTCAACCCCACCACAGATTTACTTGACTCCGACGTAGAGATGACAGACGAGACGTCTACAGAAATCCCGAGCTCTACATGCACGGTGTCCACGTACACCGAGGGGATGTTTCCCACAAGCAGTGTCATCCATGGTGACGAACTGGAAGACAGCCAAACCGTCTCCTCTCAAATTTCCAATCGTTTGAGAAGCATGGAAAGCGCTTCACGAGATATGCGCATCTATGTAAGATCCCTAGAGTAAGTGTCTGAGTTAGAACTCGGTCGACCGGCGCTAAGACTCCATGAAGGGTCATTGTTGATGACTTGAAGAACCGCGTGGATGGCGTTTGCGCGAATGGGGAGTCGCCCCCCGAGGAATCGAGTCGTCCACCACCATCTGAAGGAGGCGTCGAAGGCCGCGAAAATCACAGTCGGCCTTCACGGGCTCGAACCAGTATCGCTTCCAGAATTCTGCTCTCGCCACAAGATTCATCAGATGAAGGCTCTGTCACACGTGAGAAGAATTATTTATTGGGCCTGCAGGTGAGTTGAATGCGAAAATCCGTGTCGGACGTCCTCTGATCAGCTATGTCAAGGCTTCGATACGCCGCGTCTTTTTTAGCCTCTGCAGCGTAACGACGTACGATGCGTTGGCTAAAAAAACCGTTTCTCACGAGGCTAGAGCACAGTTCGAGCAAAATCCCGACATCTACTTTTCGAAGCACACTTTTCGAATGGACTTCCGGGGACATTTGCCTCGGCAAGAGAAAGAGAGACGCGACAGGTGGAATGATGCTGCCGCATCTTACTTCGTCCGCTATCTCCAGCGTGTCCTCGCGGATGAAGGTGACATCCCAGAGCGATATAGGACAGACGAAAACATCCGATGCGGCCTTCAGACATACATGCAGACGTGTAAAAGGAACATTAGAGGAAGTAGCAAGGGGAGAGGCGTTCCGACAGTATGAGGACCCCAAATAATTGTTACGTTTTCCAGCATGTATCTAGCCGCGTGGCCCCTCTTTTCTTCGTGTAACTCAACCCTCACCTCTTCCATCCGTCTGTCTATCCGCGGCCTGCCCGCCTGGAGTCTGTCTCCGCCTCTCGCGCTCATGGTTCACTCTTCGACGACGGTAAAGGAGACATTACACAGTTGCTGGCAGAGCGCTAGGCGGGGGCCTCTCAGTTTCTTGTTGCACAGACATGCACTGAGCCCAAGAACAAATTCGGGGATACACATACTCGTTCTGGAACCGGATGTTGGAGGAACGGGATGCGGGGGGTCGCGGGGGCCCTCGACGGCCGAGTGATGTGGCGGCGTCAAGCTGATGGTGGCGGACGAATACGGGAGCGGCTATTTCTCGTTGGAGCTACAGTTTGGTAAAAGGCGCGGGAAGCGCAGGCGCGTGGGCACGTTTTGCATGAGTACTGGTACTGAGTACTAAATAGCTAGTCCATTGCCCGTCGTGGCTCAGGCCTGTAGACGCCCGTCGCCACCCGTCGCCACCCGTCCGACTTCCTCGGAGAGTCCACCGGCCCGGTGTCTGCAGACGCCCTTGGCTACACGCGCGTCCGACTTTCTCGGAGTGCTCGCCGGCCCGTCTGCTCCCGCTCCCCTACACGGTACTTCGTCCTGGTCGTACAGTCGCAGATCCTTTTCCTCTCGCTCTCTCGCTCTCGTCCAAAATATCGCTCTCTCGTTTTTGCACCCCCTCACTCTCTCTCGTACCCTCGTTATTCGCTCATTTTATCTTCCCGCTTTGTTCGTCCTCTCCATCCATCTCCTTCAACGCACTCGCCATTTAGCATCACTATGAACAAGCACGTACGTATCTTCTTAATCACGTCTTCAACGTGCTGACGACGAGTGGACTTTCAATGCGATCTACGGCGTCGTCGACCCTCAAGCCATCAAATTCAAGGACATCGAGTTGAACGCGATGAAAAACCTCGGCGCGCGCACGAGCACCGGCGGAGGCTCTCTTCGTTCGTTCACGGCACCGTCCTGGAAGGGCACCGTGCACGTCCATTAAGTGAGTCTAACCGTTTCACGCGCTGTCCCTACTCTCCGACCAAAACGCCAGCCCCACCCATCCGACCACTACACGAAGAAGAACGTGGGGAGGCTCAAGGTGAGCAATCACTGTCTGCGATGCATAGACTCGATACCCACCTTGTACAGGGCCAGTTGGGGTCCAGCGGATTGACCCACCGGGTCATTCGCCGTGAGGCCCGCAAGGTATCATCCCGAAGCTGCCACCGCAGTAGACTTAGCCTCGTGGTCGTAATTTGCTTGATGTAAATCTGTCCAGTTTGATGCAATTCTCGTTGCCATTATTGGGGGTCGCGGCAGGCACCTGGTTCGCAGCCTCATTTCAAAAGTTATCGCATTACGCTGGTTACGATACAGTCTTCGCGTCTTCGAGGGACAGTCGGTCGCTGCCTTGCTCCGCTGAGCGTGTATACTGTACATCCGGCGCTGTCCCATATTTCCGTCTCCGTCCGCATTACCGCCTCGTCCATCTTCGCGTCGCGCGAGAAGCGCGGTGTGCAACCTCAGCGCGGCGTATACCGAGTCTACAAGCCAACCGATACATCAGTTTGGAGCCCCATCGCGCAGAAGTCGCATTTTGCGAGCTCCACCGCAGCCGACCACACATCTGTGGGAAACCGAGGTGTATATCGTTGAATGGAACGGATCCGAAACTATACTTTGCTACAATTCATGTCGCAAACATTACATGTGAAGAATCGAGCAGTGGACGAAGAGAGCCGTAGAGGCGAAAGGACGCCGGATGACGGACAGGGTGTCGGATAGGACGACGATGGTGGATAGGATGATAGAATGGATATTGATCTAGGACGATACGGCGGCATAGTACTGTACAATGTGTGGGAACGTAGTATACATGACTAAGCATACTGGTAGTGCCTCGGATGAGGGCGTACACCGGGACACTAGGAACCAACATTACAAAGAAAGAGTAGCTATATTTCCCCTTTCACTACCAAAACCCCATACTTCATGCATTCTGCTCGCACGATGTCGAAAAAAACATCGTCAGTAACAGAAAATACCTCCACCTTACTCCCAACATGCCCTCCAGGTCCACCAAAGAGCCCGCGACGAACCGAAGTCACCAGGTCATACCCGACAACGCTGGTCATGGGCCCGTCGTCGCGACACCAAGGGTAAGAGCCCCATGGAACACCACTAATCGTGAGAGTGGTCACCGTCCTTGGAAGTTTGCATCCGACGAGGGGGAAGGGAGTGTCGAGCTGCAAGTTATGCAGGGACGGACAGGCTTTGGCCATCCCATACAAAATACAGCTCGCTATATGGCCTTGATCTCCGAAACCGGCGCAGAGGCATACAAGGGGATCGTGTAACCGGAGAAACACGAGTGCCGGGAAGCATGTGTCTTCGAAGCGAGGGTACGCATCACAATCGTAAAACGATGCCCGGAGATAGAGGTGGGTGAGGGAAGGCATGGTTACGCAAATCGGCCAAAGAGAGAGAACGAAGTCCATGGAGAGGGACTGGAGTTCGTCGTTGAATGACCTGAGATCCAGAGTCGCCGATTTACATTCCAAAAGCAGTCTCAAGGAGCGATCTCCGAGACTACCCCACGGGATGAACCAGGCCTGCTCGGGGGTACCATCCCATAGTGTTCCAAGGTCTGCGGAGAGCTTGACGTGCAGAACGGGGGGTATGGAGGGGTCATTGTGACCGATGGGGAAGGATCGAGGTCCTGTGGGAGGGGACGAGAAGCGTGGAGTGTTGGTGAGACATTTGTAGTCGAATACAGCCTCCCCCCAGAGTTCGGAGTCTGCGCCGGCAGTTGGAGCGTCCAAATCGATGTAAAGGGTCGGAAAATTGATGGCGACTCTTGCGACAACGGCAGCCACGACTGGGGACGTAGTGAAAAGCGTCCAGTAAAGGTTGGCTTGTTCGTCTTGCGAGCAGGCATCCGTCCAGGCGTCCTTGATGATCCTTTCGAGAATCTCGAGTGGGAGGCCGGAAGAAGAGACGTCGGCTACAGATGGCGTCGGCGTGTGGATACGACGGTGTGAGAAAGACTGACATACGTGTGGAGGTGACAACCTGGGTGGACATTGATGCGTCGGTGACAGGCGTCTGGGATCGTGGCTTTTGAATTTTCAACGGCGCCGCGGGAGGATGGGACCGAGCGGGACTCACGTGGTCGTTGTCCGAGAGGATTTGCATGGCTGAAGGGTGAGACGAGAAGGAGAACACCCGTGCCGAACATAATCTCGACGGGCGTGTTATGTACCGTGTAGACGGCCACCGCGCGGGCAGCCAGAGTGATTCGAGATGTCGGCAAAAGGACGTTGTGACTGTAAGGTCTGTGCAAAGAAACGTTCCTCAGCATTTCGCGCGTTAACCTTTGTGGTGAACGACAGAGACACGGCGGTTGTGCCGGATGGGTCTGCCCTGGAAGCAGGTGAAACACGCATGCGCGTGGGGACAAACACAGGGTGGAGGCGAGGCGAAGGATCCAGGGCGTCGATGCAGCTTTCGGCACACGCGGATCATAGGATGCGGAAGTTGATGTAACAGAGGTACAAAGATGGCACAAGGAAGTGCTACAAACACTAGAAACGTGCTACGCAGGTGGAAAAGAAAACAAGGGAAGGGAAGCGGGACGCGGCCCACGGGGGTGACAAGAAGAATGCAAAGGAGCGTGGGTGACTAGCGAGGGAGTGAAGGGCGAAAAAAGAGGTCTGCGGGGATTGGAAGGATGAACAAACGAGTGCAAACGTAAAAACGGACGGACTTGCCGAGCGTGGAGGGGGCATGGAGGGGCGTGGAGGGGCGTGGAGGGGCGTGGAGGGGCGTGGAGGGGCGTCGCGACGCGGAGCAAACGCGCGCTAGGTGGAGGATGCGAGGGAGGAGTGGAGAGTGAACAAAGAAGCGCGAAGAGGCGTCACGGCGGGGGGGGCTCGCGGAGCGAACGCGCGCTAGTTGGGGGACAAACGTAGACCGGTTCACGGTGACGGACTGCAGAAAGGGACGCGGGGGAGGGGAGAGTGAACGTTTGGACAAAGGACCACAAGCACAAAGACGATGCAGCTCACCAAGAGTGGAGCCGCACCGGCAGGCGGTCAGGTGGATCAGATCAGGGACACTGGAGTGGCACAGAGCAGCGGTAAGTTGGCGACGGCGCTTGGGGCAGGCGGGGTGCTGGAGGGTCGGAGGGGACGCTGGAGGGTCGGCGGGGTGGACCGAGGAGCCGTCCGTCGTCTTCACCGTGGCCCTCGTCGTGGAGGTCGTCGCGGACGCGCAAGGAACATGACACACGCTCACTGGTCAGGGCATCGAGCCCCTCCATCAGAGCGTATGTCACTTCCTCGCTCGGCCAGACACCACGCCGCGCAGCACGATATCGTCGCCGCCGCCGGTCGTGGTCGATGTTACGGCGAGCTTGATGCCTTGGGGAAGGACCGTGGCGGAGGCGGAGAGTTGAAGGCATCCCCAGACGGGCTCGAGTGTAGCCCTCGCCACAAACGAGCCGTCGGAGCGGGACTCCGATCGGGACGGCAATGTCTACGAAGGCAGTGGGCAGCTTGCGGGAGCTTGCCTGTGGTCGCGGTGCTGGCGAAGGTGTTTAGTAATATGAACAACGAAACGAGGAATGTCGCCAGACCCCTCGCAAACACCCCAGAGCGCACGTTCCCTACGTCGTCCTAAGAACGAGAAATGTCAAAGCATACACGCATCCCTTGTTGAATCGTGGAGAGGTGGACTGAAGTCCGTCGGTTCCATATCGTTACCCTCACGGGCCCTACATTTCTTCAGTGCCACCTGTGGAAGCCTGACCTCCACCGCACCTTCACATGCCCCCTCGCCAACTCTGCATTACGGATGCCCTGGCAAGCGACGTGAAGCCGAAGTCCGAGGGCCCCACGAATCATCACGCCAGTCTCCGCGCATCCAGCAGTAGCTCCAGCCCAAGAGGATCACGCGGCCGCGGAGCCTGCCGTGGAGGTAGATCGAATGGTAGACAATAGGCAGAGGGGGACGCAGTGGATGGGATTCGCGTGTCCACGGCTGAGCCGCTTGATGATCTGTGGCACATGCGCGTGTATAAATTGCCACATCTACCAATTGAATTCATCTCCTATCTTTGTGCCACTCCCCTTCCCCTCGTCTAGCATGCCACTCTGTAAGGCACAGAATGCCACCCCGAGCCCTCACAAAGGAACCCTGGCCTACCCCAACGCATCTGTGTCGCTCGTGAAGTGGTCTTATACACAGCAGACCTGCACACTTTCGCTTTGCCAACCGAACGCGCACCATGGAAACCTACCCACCCCCCTCTCCTCCATCCACACAACCTAATATCCCCACCTTAGATGCAGAGGAACTCTTGTGCCACTACGACGTGAAGACGGAAGGAGGCGGGGTCATAGACAATGCGAACGCTTGGCAGGTCCTTGCACCGAGTGAGTCGCCCAAATAACCCGTCCCCAACTCTCTCTCAACTGTCCATGTAGTCTCCGCGGATGGCAGCGCCAGAGGAGGTGACTCTGTCGCATGCTCGCCTGACGTGGACCCTAAAATCGCGAACATCTCCGCGTCGGGCCGCTTTACAAACCCAGAGTACCGAGGACCTAGCACCACTACCTTCAGCCCATCCCACATCCCCATCTCCTGCCTCTGGTCCAACCGCGCGGATGACACACGATGGACTCGTCCCACAGGTACCGGCACATCTCCCCTCGTCGTCATCCTCCACGGAGCCTGTCACACAAACCGGGGTTTCCTCCATGCTTTAAAAGATGCTCAGCTAATCAAATTCTCCATCGTCAACCTCTTCAAGTTCGACGACGACCCTCCCACTCTTCTCCCACGAGGGGCAGAAATCCTCCCCCTCGACGACGTGCTAGAGCGTAACCCGAACTGCGGTCCGATCCCTCCTCCCCTCCGGTGCGCCTTTGCACTGTACCTCCGCAATGACATCGGAGACAAACTCGCGCACACCCTCCTCGCACGCACACATATCCCCGTCGACGATCTCCTATCCTTCTCTGTCTACCCCCCCCCAAACCCCGAGCCTTACGCAGACTCCTGGAAGATCTTCACGATCCTGGGTATCGACAGCCTGAAGAACGGGCCCTCCTACAATGAGGTCATGCGAGTTCGCCACGCCATCCGCTTGGAGCTCATTCAACGCCTCCAGAACGACCACTTGTTCGTCGAGGTCGCAACAGCCTCCTTGACTATGCACAGCGCCCCAAACACGCTCCACGACTTCATGGACGCCATCCACCTCCAACCCGTGGCGACGGACAGAACAGGTGACCGTACTTCGTACGCCCTGCTCCTTATGGCCCCCCCGATCGCCCCCTCCGTGCACGACAGACTCTCTCTAGTTCTCGCCATGAGAAAGGCGATATGTAGCGAGAAGGACCGACACACCACACTGGCAGGTTTCGATCTCACCTTCTACGAAGATCTCGGCCCACACCCTGCTATCCACTGCTGCATCTGCGCATCCGACATCCACATCACAAGTCTCTGCCCGATCGCAAACCAGGAAGGTTGGACCGGTTACCCCTTGACGCACTCCCAAGCGACGCTACACGGAACGGTGGAGGAGGAAGCGGAGAAGCAGGCGCGTTCAGCGCCGCCTGGATGGTACGATTATTGACATTACAATAATACTGCATCCCCACTGTACCCGCCCCGCCGCCGCCGGTAGTCTAACTGCCGCCCTATACTATGATGACTACCAGAAACCAATGAGTCACCAAATACTGCACGACGGAGTCTCCTTCTTGAGCCCCACACTCACCAAGATCTACCCTGGCCGCGCCCTAAAGCACTTCCTCGCGGCATTCACCCATTATCCACGAGACGCGGGGTTTTCTCGCTTCCTCTGACTATCTTAGTACAGCTGACGGGCCATTTCGCCACGGCTACGAGACCATCCGCCTCATCTGGGCGCAGTAGAGCTCGACGGTTATGCTCCACCAGAAAAAGACATGGATCAGACATGATAAGTACATGACTCATTCATGTCTGATGTAAACTCTTCTGCCCGGTCGCGGATTTGACAATCACGCTCGACCTTGCAGACACGCGCGCGGCACACCACCGTCGACGTCGACTACACCGCGGGCGCCTGTTAGGTGGCAAGACCGCCTCTAAATTCGCGCTCGCAAGCGTCGGGAGCGCGAAGGGGGGGATTGGGGACCAGACTCGAAGGCGAAGGAGGGGCGTGGGCCCAGTGACTAGGGGGTGGTGAGGCGTGGGGAGGAGCGCGATGAGCGCGCGGATCCCTCGTGCTTACTTGGGAGGACCCGGACCGAGGCGCTGTTGTACGACAGGCCTCGAAGTGAAGAATGGAGCACTTAACTCACAGTCACGAATTGAGCCGGCGGACTCGGATTGGTTATATCGCGGAACGATTGTCACAGCAAGGACTCCGCATACAATGAGTCGCGCGGCCGATGCATAGTACGCGCAATGGACATTGCAGCACGCGCGGGGGACGTTGCGGTGGGTGAGGTGTGCGAGGAGATTATGTCGCGCCGAATGGTCGATAAATATTTTCGGCCCGCTCGCGCCCCTACACGAAAACGGTTCATCGATATTCGTGACATACCTCTACATTCATGAAAACACAACACTGAAACGGTTCAATGGAAGCCAGGACGTTCTCAAACGCAGCGAGAGAAAAGTCTGGAAACTAAACTTGAACAGCCAGTTCGGTGCGAACACGACGAATGAATGGTGGGAGGATCGCCAACAGGTACACCACGATGCCACAAAAAGACCCCTTCGAAGTCGCGTCTGTTACTAGGAATATGATATGCTCAACAATGGTAATAACATGACGAAGGATAGAACCACTCACCGATATCGGAATGCCAGGAACAGTGCCCCCCACCTCGCTGCCACCCTTGACGCATCGCTAATTCCTTCAACGTGGTCTTGGCGCTGGAAGCGCGCTCGCATGCGTCCAGCCACGAGATGATAGACTCCACGGATCGAACCATGTCTTCGCACATGCCACCAGAAACGTCGTCGTCGCAGTCGTGGCGGACGATCGATAGGGTAGTATAAAGGGACTTGAAGACCTCGTGGGCACTTATCGCTGTGTTATGGATGATTTGGAGGGACTTCGAAGAAGTTCGGTCTAGTACGACTATGGGCCGGAGCACGAATGCGTCAACGGTTCAAGGAGACACCTTCAGTGTCGTGAGGACATTAATACGAGTGTGGTGGTACGCGCTGATGAGTCTATACCAGCATCTTATGGTCCGAACATACCTCTTGGACCCAAGGGCTACGTGAGATTAGAAGAAGCGCAGCGCCCCGCAAGCGTCCACGATGCTGCGGTGCAATCCGAGCACAGTTGAGATCGAGATGGGAGACATCATGAGGTCGGAGAAGGTGGTATCGCAGATGCTGAAGTCGATGGAGTCTGCTCGATGGAAATATTCGAATTTGCTGAACGATGCAGAGGAAATGGTAGACAAGGCCGGTTTTGGAGTGTGTCGCCCCAAGTCGATGGATGTCGGCGAGTGATACGAGAGAAGAGGGAGAGAGAGAGAAGGAAGAGAGAGAGAGAGAGAGAGAGAGAGATAACGCGACTCGACGGCGGGCGGCTATCGGCTGGCGGGGGGCGACTACGCGGACGGGCGACGGACGGACTGAGAGAGAGGGAGAGTCGAGAGGGAAAGGGGAACTAGATTGCGTGGGGCCTGAGCCCGTACATTTAAGAGAGCTAGTCGCCTCGTCACATAGAAAGCAAACAGAAACTGAGGGAAGAGCGCATACAGTCCAAATCGGGTCCAGAGTCCATGGCCGAGGCCTCTCGTCCACGCACCGTCCTTGCGTTCCCCAGACCCTCAACCATCGACTCCGGCGCTGCTTGAGGTACGTTGGGGAATGTCTCGAGCGGGGTGAGAACAGCGCACAGCGATTATTTACAGAGCGCAGGCCGCCCCCGTTCAGCCGCGGTCGCGTGCATCTGTCCTGGCCCGGCCCTAGCATCCCGACGTCATTCGAGCGGGCTATCGAGGCATCGGTTCTGCTCGTAGGGCGCGACGGACGCTACTTTAGAACGAGTGGGATATTAGCTAGTGAACTGCGATGAAGAGAGAGAGTGATTGAAGGAGAGTGAAATACAATGATAGCGAACGAGTGCTCAGGTTCCAGCCCAGTATGAGGGTCGCGTGCGCGGCGCGGTCGGTCTTGTAGTAGTCTGTGGGAGCTTAGTACAACGGGGAACCCGACACCGGGGGAGGGCTGGTGTGCGCGCAAAACCACTGCGGCTGCCCGAGGAAAATTACCTCGCACAACGTCAACGTGAGGACGTCGTTCGCTGAAGCTCGAATGAGTTGGGCGTGCAAATTGTCATGCCGTAAGCAGAGGAAAGCGCGGAGCTGAAGGTACGGAACGATAACGACGGTGAAAAAGGGAACTATAACAGCAACAATCACTAGCATTTTGCAGCCGCGAGAGTCTGCAGGAGACAATTTTTCAAGCACTCGCGCTGTGTGCTGCATGTATTTAGGCTCGAGTGTTATCTAGTTCACTTCACAGCTCCATTTGCGCGTGCAGTGTGCTCATCCAGTCTCGCCTTCGCCTTCGACTTCGTCAACGCCCACGCCAACGCCCACGCCAACACCCACAAACTTGACCTCGCCTTCGCCATCGCCAGCGCCTGTATGCGTGACCTTGTACATTCCCCCGCGTTTATCCCCGATCCGTCCTCCCTTCGCGCTCGTGCTTCCCGTGGCGCGTCGTATCTGTTTCCTTCATCTTCTATTCGACTCGCCGCGTCCCACACTTGCTCGAACTCGCTCACTCGCCCTCGCCACTGTTACCCCTTCCCGGAGTTGACTGCACATCACCTGTCATCTGGAGATGTGCCTATAAGATGGTGTCGTAAATCCGGGTTGATACGAAATACGGGCGCACAGGGCCCGCGGTCGGGAGCAGGGTTCGAAACGATGTCGCGAATACGGAGCGAAGATTGCCGAAAAAACAATATGTGGGCAGAACCGGACTGCAGAAATCGTCAAATGCATCTCCTTGAGACAGCCTCAAATCATCCACATCGACTGCTGGGTGTGGGGAGGGATCATGGATGTGCACGCCTCAGACGAGAAGGAAGACGTGCGTGTCCGAGCGTCGGCGCACGCTGGACGCCGTTGGTATAATTGTATGAATCCACCTGGAGCAATTACCGTTTGTGTCTGTGCTTCGCCGCTATAATCACCAGACCCTTTAGTCGCGCCTCCATGTTACCGAATGAGCCCGAATGGCTCAGCCGGATTACAATTGCGCGGAACGCAGGCCCAGAGGACTCCGAAGTTCTCAAAGAGAAAGCTGTGATTTGGGGCTAGGGCCACGCGAAGCGAATGCGGCGTTCTTGTGCGTTTCCAAGTTCAGGCCTATACTGCACTACATCCCTCAAATTCGCCGCTCTTGATCACGTTGTGTTACAGCCTGCTCCCGCTACGGACTCTTAGCATACGATCTCCCGCCACTAATTATGGTACCTAGTACTATATATTCCCTCCCCCGCTCCCCTGCCTCGGCACGCGATTGCCTCAGGCTCCCTCGTCACCCCGCTTTTCCTCCCCTCCCGCTCTGTGAGCCAACGAGGACACTCGCGCCTCTACACTACCGTCCTTACCCGTCTACGCCATCTGTACCCGCCCAATCGACCTCTCTCCCGAGCGGGTGCGCCTACCCTCGTCCGCACCCGCTCGACCTCGCCCGCGCGACCGCAACACAATCGCGTGGATTCGATTTTAGACGTTCGATCATCATACATTGGTACCCCCAGTGACGGCGAATTACGTAGGGTCTAAATGATGTAAGGAAAATTCAACATCATATCACCCCCTCGTTTAGGCACATTATGATATGAATTACGGGGCGTGGCATCTCGGCGTTTTCGTCTAGCTCTAGCCCACTGCCATCGCTCCGAAGTGAGGCTTCGGCATCTATCATCTGTCCAGCCGCTTTCTTCTCCCGACGCCTCTCGCACGCACCGCATGGTTCCTCTTTCGCCTGCTTGTTGGCGGCAGCAGTAAGGCAAACCCCGCTCCTCGCGGGGACATCCGAAACATCACCATACGAGAGGCAAGACGAGAGGCAAGAAGAAGCGCTGAACTCGTCACATAATTGACTGAAGAACTGGTGTAGGTGATAAAGTTAGTGATGAATGTGTACGATATTTTCAATGCATAGCGGCTTGCCTTCTGAGCATACATCTGACGAAAACGTTCCGCAGTGAAGGCAACATCATTGTCAGAAGCGCTGTGGCCCTGGAATACCGCCTCCTTGGAAACTTCAGCATCAAGATCAAGCGGCTGAGCTATCGAGGGGTTGGTACTGATAAGAAAGAGGTTTCAAACTCGAATAAAATAGACATTCAGGATGGAGAGCGTACATAGAGCCTGCAATACTTTCGGGGGCAGTGAAAGAACTGGTAGGTTTCAACGCGAATGCTCTGTCCATGGGAGGTGGAAGGTGTTGCGAGAGGGTAAGACGAAAATTCGGAGTGAGCAAAGAGGCAATTGTGAGCACTGGATGGGGCTCTAATGGCTCAGGGTTTTATGTATCGTGTTCGCTCAAAACACGAATGTATACAAAGGGGTTCGGGACCTCGTGTTTGCACGACGAAAGCGACAAAGACAGCAATGCAAGCCCAAACAAGGCGCTCCAGACAATGCATGGACCGCATTGATCTGCATCGTTTGTTTTCGTCCAGGCTTTGCTGACATGCGTTCCTCGATTGCATATGTCCTCTTAACTCACTGTTTGCGTTTGTGCGCAAGATGTCCGAGCTGTGGTCCGCCTGTGGCGCATTAATGCTCTACGTTTTTGTGATCTCGTTCCTTTGAAGAGTCCATGTTCTTTGTCTCCTTCCTCTATGAAGCTCAAATATCCTCAACGCTACCTCACAGTTTCCCCCACAACCCCCGCCATGATTGCTGCTGTCGATCCACCGCCCGAAACAGTTAGCAATGATTGCAACGCTCATTCCACCTCACAGCATCCCCCTTTGTCGCTTTCACCACCACTTCATTCTCCATCATTGCTGCCCGGTTCTGTGGAAGACGACAATGGATATCTTGGCCTTGAGGCTACCCTTTTCAGTAGTGCGGCGGTGTCAGCTGCCAACCTCAACGCGGGTGCCTTGGATCCCCTGGGCTCTGCTGCGACCGCTGAGACCCACTGTTCTGTGCCCTCTATTAGTCAAGAACGCGTCCATGTCATTGTTGCGGGAGATCCAGGCCATGAAATACATCCGGAAGGTGCGACTCGGAACTGATTCCCACCGAACACACTGCCTGACGACGTTTGGTTTGCACGCGAATAGTGATGATACTCCGCAATATGCTGGTTTGTAACCAGGGGGTGTATCATAAACGACTATCGGAAGCGATAGTAGTTCTAGAGCAGGTGCTGGGTGCGTGTTTTGAATCATTCTCTCAAGGATTTCAAATTTATACTTTCCAGGCAACACTCAACAGCGCTTTCGCAGCAGTGAGTGGACTGATGCTCGATGGGGACAATTCAGCCGTGGTATTTCGCAGGGTACCATTAGCCAAATGTCGGACCAGCCGGGTGAACCTCATTTAGCCTCCATAAACACCCACTTGTCGCTGCTTCAGGACGCGATATTGAAAATAAAAGCCGTACAAGATGGACTCGAAGCCAGTATTCTTGATATCAAAGCCGTACCCAACAAGGTAGACAGCTCCACGGCAACCAACAATATGAATACGACCGTCGCTATACTGGAGCCGAATCACACCTGGGTCTCGGTGGTGCTCTCATCACCACGATATGTTCAGGTTCGTCTGCGAATTATCGAGTGCGTAATGGCATGAATGTCCAACGGCCTTGCCACAGTGCTGCTTGAAACGAGCCTCCGATTTAATCAGAGCATACATAAGCAGCGTTGCATCATTGGATTCAGTATTTTCAATGCCTCGTCTCGTTTCGCCAGCGCGTTGGGTCGCATGGTGGGCAGAATGTGTTCATCTAATTTGATTAACGATCTCACTGTCAGAGCACCACAGGAGTCGTATGCACCAAATCGTCATGGAGTGGTGGATACTTCCGTTGTTACCGTGGGCTCTGATGATCCTCGCGTCGCCGCGATATGTTCAGGTTCGTCTGCGAATTATCGAGTGCGTAATGACATGAATGTCCAACGGTCTTGCCACAGTGCTGCTTGAAACGAGCCTCAGATTTAATCAGAGCATACATAAGCAGCGTTGCATCATTGGATTCAATATTTTCAATGCCTCGTATCATTTTTCCAGCACGTTGGATCGCATGGTGAGCAGGATATGTTCATCCCATATGATTAGCGATCTCACTGTCAGAGCACCACAGGAGTCTCACGATTTTTGGAGCACTAGCAATTGGCCTGTTGGCCTTTTGGCTGCAAAGAGATGATGAAGGGGTCAGTATTCTCGACGATGCACCAATATGGGAGTCCCTGGGGGTATAGGAGGAGAGCTGCTATACACCTGGCGCGAAGCAAGCATTACAAAGCGGAGCGTACTCATATTGGTGATTCGGGATGTGTAAAACTCTTGTACAATGCCAAAAAAGTGTTGATGATCACGTATGCTGATACAATCTCCGTGCCCGTCATGGGCTATTTCGACCTGAGCTGGCTCAGTATTTTCTCCAGCCCCTCCACTTTTGAAAGAATTTTTGATCAAGAATCTTTATATGCATCCCCTGCGGCAAATCATAGGCTGAATCACCGTCATGCGCAAGTATGCGCGGGAGCGAAGATAGCCTGCGTCAGGTCCGCCATCGGGGCACGCTTAGTCCGGCGCCGGGAAGAGTTATTGAGCTGCAGTCGCATGTCCACGGCACGTGTGTCTACAAGTTCGGCTGTCGAGAAGAGCATGTCCCACGTAATTTCATGCAACGAGGACCCTACACAGAGGGTACGTAACTCAGCCCACTAGTCCTTCGTCTGTGCCAAAGGGGATGCGAAGGGGATCGCGTGCGAGCTCGTCGAGCTTGTACCGCGGGAAGTCGGCCCGGCGCGAAAGGAGAGGATGAGCGCGAGAAGGAGAGGGAGGAAGCGCGATGCGTGCGGAGACGATGCGGAGGACGGCGGAAAGGCCGAGGCTAGGCGGGCGGCGGCAGAAGGCGGAGGACTCCGGAAGTGCGGAAGACGGTGGACTGAAGGCGGAGTTGGGTGAGTAGCACGCACAATATGGGGGCGTCGAAACTGTAGAGTGCAGATGTGGCGAGAATAAGTACGTACACGAGAGGACACAGACCGTAGCAACGAAGTCCGAGGGTGCAGAGTGGGCATGCCGGCGAGAAACCCAGGTAGAATAATCTAGAGGAACACAGAGAGGTGGACGAAAGAGCGTAAGGTAGGGCCATGTAGCGTCTGCGTGGTCACAAGTTATGGCAGCGAGACATAGGGAGGGTGGTTGGTAATATGTAGAAGGGACAGCTGGGGACGGACGGAGCTGGGATATCGTAACGTGAGACAGAAGGGCGCGGGAACGGGGCGGAGCGGGAAATGTGGAGCGTCGAGGAATACAGAACGTTCGAAAGGGAATCATGGGACGCGGAGAAGTGCGGGAGAAGGGTTCGGGTGTGCGGGGAAACGTGGGATGTCCTAGGACGTGGTGAGCTTGACTGTCGGCGAGGCTATCGGTCGGTGAGCTTGTACGTGCGAGCAGCGGCGTGGTGACAGCAATGTCGGCCAGTGCGCGCGTCGATGAGCGTCGCGCGAGGTCTTGTTAGCGGCGGCGTGCGGGTGTCTCGGTGAGATACTTGTGCGGGTGTCGGTAACAGGGCCGTCGGTGCATCACGCGGACGGTTGGGGGTGCGGTTGAGCTCGCGTCGGTGGTAGTTTGTTACGATGCGCGCTGCGCGCACTTGGCCGCGTGGCGTGCGCATCACCGGGCCACTTCGCCTCGGGCTAGCTGCCGCGTCTAGTATCGCCTCCTTCGTTAGCGAATTACAGCTGGGTCCATAACGATAGACCCCTGGCGCAAAAAGTAGCACACAGCCGGTTTGGGCGGAGTTTGATCACAGTGCGCCTGCCGAGAGTCCGGCAACTGTCGGCGTTGTCCGCCGACGCGTCTCCTGCGAACGCGTCCTTCGAAGCGCCCTCTCCGGCTAAACTCCGCCCGAATCGGTTGTGTGCTAATTTTCGCGCGAGGGGTCTATCGTCATGGACCCTAGCTGTAATCTGCTGTAATGCTGCCAATGCGCGCAAACCCTAAAGGCCCAATCCCCGCCTCGTGCCACCACGACGTACGTCACCTAAGTGAAGCCAAGCCCATTAAGTTATATTTATATGCGACTTACACGGCCGGCGCCACGTTGCCGGGATCGGCGAAGTCGAGCACGTGGCGCTCATGTTGGTACCGGCGCTAGGTCTCGCGCTTCACTTCCTCCGAGGTCCACACTCCTCCTCCTCCCCATCGCTCCGACGGCTCGTTTGTGGCGAGGGCTACACTCGAGCCCGTCTGGGGATGCCTTCAACTCTCCGCCTTCGCCACGGTCCTTCCCCAAGGCATCAAGCTCGCCGTAACATCGACCACGACCGGCGGCGGCGACGATATCGTGCTGCGCGGCGTGGTGTCTGGCCGAGCGAGGAAGTGACATACGCTCTGATGGAGGGGCTCGATGCCCTGACCAGTGAGCGTGTGTCATGTTCCTTGCGCGTCCGCGACGACCTCCACGACGAGGGCCACGGTGAAGACGACGGACGGCTCCTCGGTCCACCCCGCCGACCCTCCAGCGTCCCCTCCGACCCTCCAGCACCCCGCCTGCCCCAAGCGCCGTCGCCAACTTACCGCTGCTCTGTGCCACTCCAGTGTCCCTGATCTGATCCACCTGACCGCCTGCCGGTGCGGCTCCACTCTTGGTGAGCTGCATCGTCTTTGTGCTTGTGGTCCTTTGTCCAAACGTTCACTCTCCCCTCCCCCGCGTCCCTTTCTGCAGTCCGTCACCGTGAACCGGTCTACGTTTGTCCCCCAACTAGCGCGCGTTCGCTCCGCGAGCCCCCCCCGCCGTGACGCCTCTTCGCGCTTCTTTGTTCACTCTCCACTCCTCCCTCGCATCCTCCACCTAGCGCGCGTTTGCTCCGCGTCGCGACGCCCCTCCACGCCCCTCCACGCCCCTCCACGCCCCTCCACGCCCCTCCATGCCCCCTCCACGCTCGGCAAGTCCGTCCGTTTTTACGTTTGCACTCGTTTGTTCATCCTTCCAATCCCCGCAGACCTCTTTTTTCGCCCTTCACTCCCTCGCTAGTCACCCACGCTCCTTTGCATTCTTCTTGTCACCCCCGTGGGCCGCGTCCCGCTTCCCTTCCCTTGTTTTCTTTTCCACCTGCGTAGCACGTTTCTAGTGTTTGTAGCACTTCCTTGTGCCATCTTTGTACCTCTGTTACATCAACTTCCGCATCCTATGATCCGCGTGTGCCGAAAGCTGCATCGACGCCCTGGATCCTTCGCCTCGCCTCCACCCTGTGTTTGTCCCCACGCGCATGCGTGTTTCACCTGCTTCCAGGGCAGACCCATCCGGCACAACCGCCGTGTCTCTGTCGTTCACCACAAAGGTTAACGCGCGAAATGCTGAGGAACGTTTCTTTGCACAGACCTTACAGTCACAACGTCCTTTTGCCGACATCTCGAATCACTCTGGCTGCCCGCGCGGTGGCCGTCTACACGGTACATAACACGCCCGTCGAGATTATGTTCGGCACGGGTGTTCTCCTTCTCGTCTCACCCTTCAGCCATGCAAATCCTCTCGGACAACGACCACGTGAGTCCCGCTCGGTCCCATCCTCCCGCGGCGCCGTTGAAAATTCAAAAGCCACGATCCCAGACGCCTGTCACCGACGCATCAATGTCCACCCAGGTTGTCACCTCCACACGTATGTCAGTCTTTCTCACACCGTCGTATCCACACGCCGACGCCATCTGTAGCCGACGTCTCTTCTTCCGGCCTCCCACTCGAGATTCTCGAAAGGATCATCAAGGACGCCTGGACGGATGCCTACTCGCAAGACGAACAAGCCAACCTTTACTGGACGCTTCGCGCTACGTCCAAAGTCGTGGCTGTCATCGGCTCCATTATCGCTGTCCAATACGCGACGCTTCGTGTTAGGTTGCACTTTCCCGGCCCTGCTTGGGGTTCCATCGTCTGGCTCCTGGCGCTCAGGCACTACACCATCTGCACCGACAATCCCGGCTTTTCAATCCCAGCTGTCAAACACATTGCGCTCAACGTTGGCGTTGGTAGCTCCTACTCCAGCATACCCATGAATACCCTGTGGATAACCCAGTGGAAGCGCCTTCGCGCCGACCTCCCTGCTATGTTCGTTAACTGCCGCTCCATGACCTTACTCCTCAACGACGAGGCTGTTTTTCGCCTCCCATCCCTATCCCTTGCACCTGTTTCCACCACGCTTCCAACCCTCACGCATCTCCACATCCGCATGAACTTACCGGGCTTCGTGCTTGTCAGTTTCTTCGGTGCATATTTCCCCGCCCTCACCTTCCTCCGTCTCTCCGACCCACTCAACTGCCAGTGCGCCGCGCTGGAGGGTGACCGCCACAACGAAATATGTATTTTCTATGGGATCACCGACGCGTGTCCAGCCCTACGACACATACGCCTCGACACACCCAGCTCTCTCCTCACGGTCAAGCTTCCTGTGACCGTACGGTGTCTCACCCTCTTCGCGGACCCCATGCGTTTTCATGGCAAGCTGGAGAGTAATATTTTCGAGTACAGTCTGGCGACTTCAGTGCGCGGAGGACTCTTCCACACACCCATCGTTCATGGGGCGTGTTCCCCGCCGAAGATAGAGGTCTTGAGCGTCTCCGAAGAGACATGCACATCTTACCAAGTGGATGCGATACACGAGAGGTACGGGGTTCACATTGAGAAGGTGATGGAAAGCCAGCACTCTGTTAATACGTTGTAATTACATGATTGAATTTAAATCAACCCTACCGAGTCTGCGTCCGTACGTGTAGCACAGTAGATTATGTCACTGCCTTTACTAGGGACTTGCATACTACCCCACATCAGCCATCGCATACTCCGCAACCGTACTACAAAGCTTCCTTATCCAAAGGGTTATAAATGTTGGTGGAACAAGGTGAGCACGGTTCTGTTCTCACTCCCGCCGTCTCCGAGTCAACCGTTCAAAGATGATGGAGGTGTGCGCAATGGAAATGAATTCGAGCGTCTAACAGTGTGCCACAAGACCGGGAGCAGAAACAGATGTGACTATCTTTGTCTTCCCCCCTTTGTTCTGAAACCGTCACTGCCTTCAGTGTTCACCTGGGAGTAATATATCGGTTAAATGACGTCCTTTCTCTACCGTGTGATCTCCCGTCTTTGTTCACATGCATAAAGAAACGAACCAGCATCTCTTATAAATAAGCAGCCGTACGCTGCGCTATCAGCATCGCCCCTCCCCTAACGGCCGTATCAATCATGCCTCGGAACGATCCGCTTCGCGAAAGGTTCAAATTTGAGCACTCTGTCCCGTTCTCATCCTCCGGGACCACCACAATCAGTTACAGTCCTCCCTCTGCTCCGTGGCAGTTGAACGTTGTCAAGCCAGTGTTCGTTCTCGGACTTACCTCCGCGCTCAGGTACACTCTTATAGGTCCGGCCGGTTCCAACTGATCGCTCATCTATTTGGTAAACAGACGTAGCCGCGTCGATATCGTGGGTCAGTCACTTTCAGCGTCCAAGATTAGCCTCCCCTCCAAGGAAGGTCGGGCAACTACGCCTACTACTGGCAGGTTTATGTCCCCGGCTCCTTTCGGCAACTCAAGCTCTCCTTCCGCTGGCCTCTTGTCAAGTATTTCGGAAAACTCTTACAATGCGGAAGATACGGCACAGTTTGCGGCCGCGGGTGCCAAGGTGTCTCGAAGGACTCCGGTTCGGGCTTCATCAGTAGTGTCTTCGGGGGGAAAGTCCGATGTGAGTCACGCTAGCGCAGAGCCGCCACAAGCCTGCCCCTCTCCGGTTTCCAGTAGCAAATTTTGGACGAAACAGGGAATGGAGGTTCGTACTACCCATACATTCAGACGAAGTCTGTCGTTGCTGATTTTTTCAGCCTGACGGAACCCCTCGTTTACTCCGACAATCTCGAAAATGCTCGAACATAGATCCTACCTGCTTAATATGGTTTTGGGAGACATTTTCCGATGGCTTTCTAGCAGAGCCACCTCTCATTCCCGAGGACCAAGTGCAGATTTCGGACGTCGTGCTTAACAATATACACGGAACAGAGCATTCACAGAGCTGGATCTACGCCTTGGACGAGAACAAGGCGCCATGTTGGAAGGTTTTGAAGCAGGGTGCTCGTCGAGAAGATGGAAGAATGTACCTAGTTACTGGGAGAACCCTGGTCCCGGGCTGGGTGACTGAGGACTGGTGGGCTAAGTCGATGCGGGAACGCTCAAAAGGTAGGTCACCAGCTTGTTTCGAACGTCATCGGTCTTATAGCTCTCTGCGTCTTACAGCACTTAAACGCAAGGCCAATGATTAACATCTACTACGCGAGGCATCGTGACTACAGCCGGAGTCTCCATATACGTTGTTGAATCGAGAGAAACGTGGTATATGGTCTGTGAGTGTGTGGCGAAGGGGGTGGGTGCCGGAGCGAGAGTGGGGGTGAGTGCCGGTGGGTACCATATGTGACCTCCGCTCCGTCCGGCAGCTTCCGCCGCGGTTTGAGGACGCCGGAGTGCCTACTCCAAGTAGTGCATTCTGGCCTCTGGAGCGAGGTGGTCGTGGCCTCGCAGATGAGAGTGGTGGGTTGGTCGGGATGGGGAGGAGCGGGCCATGGGTGTGTGGGGGGATGAGAAGGAGGAGAGAGTGGAGCAGTACACACGGGAGGGTGCGGTGCAGCGCGGGGGTGAGTGCGGTGCCGTGCGATATTGTCTATGGGAAGGGGATGGTGGGAGTAGCATTTACTTGGTGCGCCGCGCAGCTTGCAGTGTAGGAGTTCCGTCGACTCCGGTCGCCTGACGGCTCGCCCGCTACCTATTTACTTTCGCGTGCGTTGCCCAAGCGCTACGGATGGACGAGCGAGCCCGGACGAACGCCGTCTCGGGGTCTCCTTCTTCGTGCGGGTGTTTCACGTCGTGTTTACACTCCCTTGGTATGTAACTATTGGGGGTTCGAAACGGGAAGCAGGATGCGCGAGGGGGAAGGTTGGGGTACGGGAGGGCGAACGTTCTGTCCAACTGAGTAAGAATGTCTACCGATTTCCGGCGCGTGGCGCGCGGGCTGGGCGCGTTGTGGAGGTGGTGCGCTGGTGTTGTCGGGTCGGTGCGCGAGGTCAGCGCGGAGGTTGTCGGGGTGGTGCTGTGCGATGGCTTGTTTGACGGATTGCAGGGGTTGAGGAACGGCGCGGAGCGCCGGGGGTGTCGTCTTCAGGGTTTTCGAGAGCTCCAAAAGCCTGTCGCAGGCGTTCTGTTGCGTCGATACAGGGGGAAAGCTGGGGGAGTGCGTCTGCGTTACTAAGTACTCGAGCTTTCCTCCTTTCCGCCCGGGCTTCATGTGAACTTGCGTGGCGCACATCGTAGTACCAAACCACCGCCGATGGAAACCAACTACAACGCGCACCCGCCAGTCAGCGCGCCGCACCAACCGCTCCGTCACCGACACTCTGACCATTACCTCACCAAAACACCCGCGCGCTGTCGTTGAAAAGACCCTGGGCAACGGGCATCTACGCGCGCACTGGGGACATCGCCGCCACCACGCCGCTGCTCGCGCGCGCGAGCCCGACACGCCGATAGCCTCGCCGCCGTATGTTTCGCTATCATAGCTCGTGACCACGCGTCCGCGCTACTTTACACTCGTTTGTTCTCCTCTCTGCGTCCTTTTAGACTATTCTACCTCATTCCCTCGCCGACATGCCCCGTTCTGTACCCTCTCGGACCCCGTTGCTACGACTCGTGCGCTCTCATCTATTTAGCCTCGCGTGTTTGTGCTCTATCTACAGTTTTGACGCCCCCATTTCGTGCGTGCTCCTCACCGAATTCCGCGGTCTGTTCGCCGCCGCCGCCGCCGCCTTCCGCACATCAGCCTTCCGCCGTCCGCCTCGCTTCCGCCGTTCCGCCATCTTCCACATCTCCTCCGTTCATATCTCTCTCCATCTCTCTCTTTCACGCCCTCGTCTTCTCCTCTCGCGCCGGGCCGAATCCCCGCAGTCCATGCACTCTCGCATCCACTCCTGTGGGTGCCCGTCTTCGCTTAGTGCGAACTAGACAAGGGGAGTGAAGGGTCCAAGTAAATAAATGGCCATCAGTGCTGTCCCGCCCCTACGCGCGGTGTAACAGCGTCGCAGAGATCGAAGATCCAGCGAATCACCTCAGCCGGGGTTCCATATGCGCGTGGTACACCGCGCGGGTTACCGCTAGAGGCCAGCATAGAGCATCTGTTGGCTACTGCGTTGGCCTTGGCCGCCCTGGTGGGGCCGTTGTCCGCGAGGACGTTAGCCTGAGTGGACCGGAACGAAAATCCCACATACGTCACTGGTGGCTCTTACGAGAGGCACGAGGGGGCTATGTGCTCGATCTTCCATCCGCTTTCGTCGTTCCTCCTCAAGCGGCTGGTCAAACTCAAGGGGTTTTTGGCAGGCGCACCATAAAAGGCAATCACGTGATGTGAGTGCCCTCCCCTCGCTCCACTCCCTCGCCCAAACGGGCTCGTTGGGGCACGCCGCTCCCCCGTGCGCGGCGACGGCTTGTGACGGCGGTCTCTTGTGCGACCAGTCTCGCGCGCGACCAGTCCTCCGCGTCCGCGTGCGCGCCACACCCGCGCTGTCATGTCGCCCGCGTCGCCCCTCGACGCGGACGTGCAGCTCCCAATGCTTGCAGGAGTCTATGGAGACGTCGACTCAATCCCGCATCTCGAACTCCTCGCTCGCTGCCCGGCTGCGCACGTCTGCTTCGGAGGCCGCAATACAGGTTTGTGTTCCCACCTTCCTCGTGCGCCACGCATCCTTACAAGACCACAATACAGCCTTCGAAAGAACTTTTGCCCGTCGTGTTATCTCTCTCTCTCTCTCTCTCTCTCTCTCTCTTTCTCTCTAATAATATCTAGCCCTAGCCACGCAAATTTCCTCAAACAAAGCAGAGATGCGATCTCGTTTGGACTGCGCCGCCCTGCCTGCACCTGGATGGAATGACGTCATAGCAGTATCACAATCAGATCACAAAGCCTGTATGTTCTTACTGACAGTGCAGGCACAACAAGGGGGAAACGGTAAGATGGGCTCTGGGAAATGAATGACGTAAACAATGGGATAAAGCAGAGAGGCGACGAAACAAAGAAACCTGGACCCATCATTGGCGCTGATCATGACGCGGCCTCTCGCAACCAGATTTCCTCGTGCGCCTTTGTCATTCGCTTCTCACCCGTACTTCAGCCCACACGAGTACCAGTCTGGCCTCAACTCATTCCCATCATCAGCACCTTCGACTCTATCCAACATGCCCATCCTTTACGAGCCTTTGCAACTGTTAACTGCGGCAGATTTGTCCTCTATTTCTTGTCTGGCTTACAACCAAGACGGCTCCTTTCTAGCCACAGCCGAAGAAAAAGGGCAAATTTGTATTTGGAGTATGCAACTGGGGACCCCCGAATACTGCTGGCGTATCGGTCGCTCCGTAATGTGCGCTGTATGGGTCACACCTCACGTCATATTCTGCGGTCTCGAAGACGGCTACATTGTGTCCCTTGAAGTTAATTCGAGTAAGGTGAGTGGTTCCAGCTCATAGGGACTGTTTACGTAGATTGACACTCTTCCCTTTAACAAAGGGTGAGCTCGTTGCTCGAGGTAGCTGGGCACATGAGTTCTACGTCGCTCATCTCGCGACCTGTCCGAAGCTTCTTGCCTCTGCTGCTCACGATAATTTAACAATATGGAAACTGGAAGAAGGTAAGATACGTATCTTATAACAGCACAGCGAAGCATTCACACAAAAATATTCATAGATCATACCATTACCTTCATCAATGAAATTGTGCCACCACACTCTCAGCATTCATACACACAGCATGCAGAGACAGAATGCTTGAGCGAGGTCCTCTTGCAGGACTATACCCCAGGAGTCATCACGGGGCTTGCTTGGGACCTTCATCACCCGGCTGTGAGGCATCTCATAGCGGCGTATCTCGGATACGGCATTGTGTAATGGTCGTCTCCTCGAGTTGGTTACCCTTTGTTACCTAACAGCTTCAACAGGGTGTATGACGCTGACAGTGGGGGTGCAATACGCTCTATCACAGTGCCTGGGCTCCTGTACGGTTTTCACTCTAATCATAGACGTCATCATGTTAACGCTTTGCAGTGCCAAAATGGTGGTTTCACCGACCTGCGCCTCAGCCGCGACTAGTATCATTGGATCCGGTGTGCGTGTGTATGACCTTGCCACCGGAGAATTTACAGTGGAATTCGGTCCTGGTAATATCAAAGATAATTTTCCAACGCCTATGGCTTGGATTCACGGTGGGCACGGCGTCATCATAGGAGCCAGCGCAGGACAAATAGACGCCTGGGACATCACCACGGACCCAGCGAAGAGGTTCAAGACCTTAAAACACGGTGGTGAGTGTTCCGTCTGCTTTTTGAGTCTTCGCGTTCTGAACTATATCTCTCTCTTGAGACCAATACAGGGTGGTGGCACTTTCGGTAAGCCAACTCTTCGTGTATCCAATAAACACTCACACCGTCCCAGGCTTTCTATGACCATGGTATTGACGCCTTCTACATTGTCGCGGCGATGAATCATCATGAAAAATCGCCCAAGGTGGTGGTCTGGAGGGGACAAGAGCAAGGAGGTAGGTGTTATGCACGACGTATAAGCGCCATGTACTGATTACAGTGTCTATGAAAGAGGGAACACTCAATATCGCCCCATCATCGGACGGCGAAGAAGGACAACGCTTCGCAAGGATTACACGATATTTACCGGTGGGTGAAGCTCTTCATGCTGTTAAATTGTTGATGTCTGATCGGAACATACAGAAAAGGACCATGTTATCGCTCGCGATTGCTTTCAGCGCACTCTTGGCTAGTGTTGCTGTTGGATTCCAATACAGAGAAAACCAAGTTAACGTGGAACAGCATTGAGTTTCAGCGTAGAAGTTAGGGGAATGGCCGTAATATCGAACTATAGTCGGAATACATTATGCGGTGTCCACGGCGGGTGCGAGAATGCGTGGACGCCCGATGATGCGCATGCCGTGCGATCACGCGCGGCGCGCATCGTACCAATAGTTATACCAGTCTGCAGTCTCCGTTGTCCCGCTCGCCGAAACGTCTGCACCAATCCGATCCTGGCAGATCCGCGTCTCCGTCGTCGATAGCCGCCTCGCGCGCGCGGCTCCTGCTGCACGCGTCCTCGGCGTTCACCAAGCCGCGCCTCCAATAGTTTCTCTTCTCCGCATCCCCCCGCGCCTCGTCGTGTTCGGCGCACGTCTACGGACATTCTGTCACCTCACATCTCCCTCTTCTCTACGTCCTTGCAGGCTTCGTTCTTGATATTCCAGTTTCAACAGTTCCTTATTCGTGCTTATAATCACACACTCCTGCCTTGCTACCATACTCCGTGACTATGCAGCCACCACGCGGTGCTATGATTTATGCCATATCTCTTCTCTGTCCTCGTTTGAATTGCTCGGACTCGTCGCATTGTCGGTATGTTTGTTCTCTGACCTCTCGGACTTCGTTGCGAGGATCGGCATTCTCCCTCCTGCTCCCAACAATGGTCGGCTTAGTCCACCGGCTTCCATCGCTCGTATGTGCGGTCAGCGTGGTGCCCCTGTTTCTCCTTTGAGTGGTCCCGCTTTCGGTGAGTCGGCGCTTCTTTCCTCCAAGCTCGCTTTGTTCACATCGCATTCGCCGCAGTCACTTGCGTAATGCCGATCCATTCACCTTTGTCCTTGGCCATTCGAGTCCTTCTTTTCATTCCATTATCATCCTGTCGTGTTTAACATATCCTTGTCCGCCTGCTGAAAAGCATCGTCGCATGCTCTCCCCCTGGTTATGCTTAGATAGTGCTTCACTTGGTTCTTTAAAGAGGTCGCTTTCATGCACTTCGTTGCCCCGATGTCCCAGGCACAACTTCGTTGGTGTTCCTCCACGAGCAACCTCCATGTTTCCCTTCTTTGAAAAAACGCCCACTCTAGGATGTTTATATAGAGTCTATCGTATACATATGCAAACCTCAGATCTCCCCGCTTCGCACCTCCGACCGCCACTCAAACTCTGGCTACCGCGGACGCTCTTCCCATCTCGGGAAACTGGCAGAAACATGAGCACGCGTAGAGCTTCTCACCGAGTTTCCGCACACAACAAGACACTCCGCGAATTGTCTCCCGACCAAATGGGCGAAGAAAGATGCACAAATGACATTCAAGACGACGATCATGGTGCTCAAGTATTCGATGACGCTTGTATGATGGACAAGGTTTGTGGATAGCGTTTCGCGCCAGCTCTAGTAGGCTTACCATGGTGCAATTGCCAGCTCACACATTTGTTCGGTGCTTTCGAGATTGCAGAAGTGAGCTTTGTTGTTGCATCGCTACATTTCTTTTTAACACACGACTGTGTAGTTTCGACAGACGTTCAATGAGCTTCAGCAACAATCTTCAGAACAACCGCTGTCAACGCTCTCAGACGTATGCACGGTCTCCATATTTGTGATTGTTGACTGATTGGTTTATTTCAGCTCGAAAAATTTACTGGAGTACCACTGAGGACGCACGCCTCCGGGCTCGAAATAGGCTCGGTGACCGCGTCATTAGAACATCTATGCTCGAAGGCGGTTGATATCAACGTTGAGGGTCCAATGCTCCCTTTGGCTCCAGTCTCTTGTAGCTCGCTCTATGGAATACCGAGCGCGGGGGGAGCGACGAGCTTGAGTTCATTGGTTTTTGATGGTCACCCCCCTCAAATTACGCCCTCGATTGCCCCAGGATCAACCACCTCGAGCGTTGTCTCATCAATGTTCCCATCATCCCTCAGCCTCACTTCGTTCTCTATCCCACAGTCGCCGGCACATCGGCAAAGTTCTGGAGAACCCACAGCGAACGTCACCGCTGTAGCTCATCCCGACGATGAAGACAAGGAATGGCAGCAAAAGAGGCGATCACGGATTACCGCACGCCGTCGCAGGGTACCGTGATGAGACTCTGAACAATTATTGTAACTGACTCTCAACTCAGCTACACGCTCAACGATTGGCTTCCGCTCGTGACATTCCAAGAATCGCGCGACGCCATGCACTTTTACTATCTCAAATCAATCCTCGATACATCAGTGATGACGAAACAGATTACGAAACTCGCGGTGGACCTTCGAGACCAGTCCACCGCGCAATTTTCATCATCAAGGAAGCGGCATGGATGAGCGTATCGCTGCGAAATCTCCTACGAAGTATCGATCAAGAGCACGAGGCGCATCGAGGTCGGGGACGGATGCGTAAGAGGATTCCCCCGGCGCCTGGAGAAAGCAAGCGGGACAACGGCGCTCCACAATACCTCCCAAGGCCATGCTATGATGAAGATTGGCTGAAGAATTTGACCAAAGACCAGCAAGATCGCCTGCAGATAAAAGACCTGATATATGATTTCACCTTGTATGATCCTTCAGAACTGGCGATCAGCGGTGAGTGTTGCCCGAAATCCACTCCCATATTTCCAAGTGCGTCATAATTGATCGCTGGGTCCACAGGCAGTAGAAAGTCTGCCAGAAAAGCTGCTGAGAACAAATGAGAGAGGTGCTGGTATATGGGAATGTCGTAGATGTTGATTTGTATTGACTTGTGATAATAGCGCATGTGAACCGTTCAATGGGCAAATCTGTGAATCTATAAGTTTTGACGCTCTGATGAGACGGAGGTGCTCACGTGGATCAGCGCGGTCGTAGTTCACGATGTTGGATGATGCGCATGCCGCGCGGCGCGCCTCGTATAAAATCACCCTGGTACAACTGCACCTCCACTGGTCTGCGCGCCGCAGCAACCGCTCCGTCACCGACACACGAGCCGCCCATCCCCCACGCAACACGCGTCGACGCGCGCACCCAACGACAGCCGGGCGTGGACGCGGACGCGGAGCGAGCCGCCGAGTGGGCGGGATCGCTCGCGCCGCGATTTTGGGTGTCCGGCGATAGCCCGTGGTACGAACAAAATGCTTCAACAGGCAGCTAATTACGAACAATTACGCGAGCGAAAAGGGTGTGTGGGTGCGAGAAGACGACGGACGGTGATACGCACGTGCCGCCGCTGTACGGTGCAGCGCCATCCTCGACCCTGCTAGCGCCCGCGCGCCGACGCTCGATTCTCGTCCATCTTCCTCTCGCATCTCATCCATTCCGCCCCGCGCGCCCACCGCGATCAGCCCAAGAGCACCCGGGAATTTACACGCCATCATCCAAGTCCAGACGCGACACACACGGACGCTACGTAGCGCTCTCTGCGCACGCTTGTGGCCTTCGCCGCGCGCCCTCGATCTCCACCACTCGCGGCTCGGCACACTTTCCTCTCGCGATTGTACCCTAGTTCTTTCCTCGTACGTTTCATTTAGTTTCTTCTGTTCTCTTTTCTTTCTCTTTCCCGTCTCTGTATCCACTTATTACACCCTCTCTCGAGCTCCTTCCGCCGTGTCGCGTGTCCCTCCACCTCATATTCTGCTCTGGCTTTGTATACTTTCGTCTCTTGGCCTCGGCAGGTCCTCGTTTAGTTACTACGTACTTGCTCTGTGCGCTGCTTGTATTTAGACTCAGCCTTTACTTTGCGTTACCCAATTCATTTCCCCGCTCCATCTGCGCGTGCGGTGTGCTCACTTCGTCTCGTCTTCGCCCACGCCCACGCCTTCGCCCACGACCTCGACCTCGACCTCGCCTTCGCCAGCGCCAGCGCCAGCGCCCGTGTACGCGACCTCGTCCATTCCTCCGCGTCTATCCCCTTCTCTTCTTCCTCGCGCTCGCCCTCCCGATTCATCCTCCCTTCGCGCTCGCCCCTCCCGCTGCGCGTTGTATCTGTGTTCCTCACTCTCCATTCGACTTCCCGCGTCCCACGCTTACTAAAGCTCGCTCTATCGCCCTCACCCTTGTTGACTGAGCCGAGCCGCGAGTGGTGGAGATCGAGGGCGCGCGGCGAAGGCCACAAGCGTGCGCAGAGAGCGCTACGTAGCGTCCGTGTGTGTCGCGTCTGGACTTGGATGATGGCGTGTAAATTCCCGGGTGCTCTTGGGCGGATCGCGGTGGGCGCGCGGGGCAGAATGGACGAGATGCGAGAGGAAGATGGACGAGAGTCGAGCGTCGGCGCGCGGGCGCTAGCATGGTGGAGGCTGCACCGTACAGCGGCGGCACGTGCGTATCAGCGCCTACCTCGGTTCGCATGTCATCAACAATACGGAAGTGCAGGGTGTAGGCTGCGTGCGTGTATACTGTCTTCCAATCTAAAACGAAGCGCGCGGTGGCTGTTCAAGTGAAGCGCAGTATGCTCGTATCAACCAAGGCCTCCCGTCCCAAATGAGCGAATACCCTGGGATGACATGCCAGCCCCGGGAGGTGTGCAAGAGTGCGAGGGGATCGCGTGCGAGCCCGTCGAGATTACACTACGGGAAGTCGGCCCTACGCGGAGAAGGAGGGAAGAGCGTGCGGAGACGAGAGGCGAAGGAGAGGTCGGAGAGAGAGGGCCGGTGCGGGAAACGACGAGGAACGGCGGTGGAGGCGAGGCTGAGACGGACGGCGGAGCACTGTCGCCGACCTCTGGCCAGCCTCTTGCTTGCTTCCAGGGCCTCGACTGGGAGGAGTCAGGACTCGAGACTGCTGCCAGAGAAAGCAAGTATAGCTGCCGCACTCAAGAACAGATGATGGGATGATGAGACCTACCTTGTCATTCATCCAAAGGGTGAGGATTTCGTGGACGTCGTAAACGGTAGCGCAGGGACCTCTACGGCATGATACGCATCGGCGGGTCTCATAGAAAGAATTCTAGCCGAGACGCGTCGAAAAAGCTCATGTGACCGCGAGAGCCGCCCGCCCGGACCGCGGAAAGGCAAGAGAGAGAGAGAGAATGCGCGAGCGCACGACAGCTTACCCCGTTTTTAATCAGTAGAGGCACGCTTGTGCTCCAGTGTGAGAAGAATTTTACATGTCAATGCGTCAAACTCGAGAGAGCGCCGGCGCTAAATGTCGGACCAGTCGGTCAAGATACATATAGCTCCATATAGCTCCGGATAGGGGGCGTTCTCACTGGGCATGAGGGTTTAAAACAAGCAGTTGCGCATCGCCAGTGTGATTGGCAACGGGCCAAGCGGGCCGAGTTGAACGCTCCGTTGGAGGCTGGTTCAGGCCGAGAAATGGGAGGCAACCGCGACGGTTAGGACGCATCTCGTCTCTACCCTCCTCCGCCAACAAATCACCTCAGTAGCACGGCCCAGCCCCGACCGTCAACTGTTCATACACGGGTATCAACGCCTGATTTGTTGGCACTTCATCCGTTCTGGCCAGTGTCATCTCCATTCAACTTTGGCAACAAAGATCCAGTACTACTGCCCGTGCATGGCCGAGCCGCCGCATCCACCCCCACCATACCTGGGGTCGTCGGCATATAGCTTCCACTTAGTACACAATCTCTTTTTCTGCGAGGAGTGCGACGCGGCGCGGTGTAACCGGCGCGTGCTGCTCGGGGTGAATGGGTATTACTGCCTGAACCGTCACGTCTGATACGAAAGTGTGAATTTATCACTTGATGGGGAAATTACGTCAACGGTATTAGACTGACGTAGGAAATGACGGAGACACGGACTTGTTACACACTAGTAAGACGTGTTCTGAAGACTAAGCAAAACACCCTGTATCGAGGTCTTTCTTAGCCATCCGGCGGTATTCGCACTCCCAAATTTCATTTCCCGCGTCCCGAACCCATTTTGATGAGACACCTACGCCTCTGACGTATGACTCTTGATGGAGAATGTCGATAACCTTCAACGACGGATGATGCGTCCCGTTAGTCCCTCGACTCCACCGTTCTACCAGCCAGCGCTCCGCGGAAACACCCCGCTTCTTGGTAAGGCGAGCGGCGGTGCGGAGGCTAAAAGCGCGAAGATAGGATAACTTCCGCAAGCCGTCTCCCCATTTTGCAGATTCCCCCCATGGACGTTTTGCGGTGGTGAAACGCCGTCTCGAAAGCTGCGATTATAGGGATTAGGGTGTGGACTGCAGCAGTGCAGGGATTAACGTTACCGTAGAGCGAGACTCAAGCAATCGTAGGTTTTCTACGCGCGGGAAAGCACCAGCGATCGCGTCGAGCAAACCGGTGTCGGAGAGTGAGTAATCAAGAACGAGGTTGTTGAGTTTGTAGTAAACACCATGTGGGAGGCTCCTGAGGATGGTAGAGAGGCGACTGGAAGAGATAGGGGCACCCTCGAGTCGAAGCGTATGGAGCTCTGGTCGAGCAAGCTTGCTGATGCACCCCGACGGGCACCAGATGTCGACGAGATTAGAATCGGGGGGAAGGCGAAGCGGGCACTGTCTAATCCCGCATGCGTGGAGTTGGAGATGAGTGATGGAGGGATTTTTATCAAGGAAGTGGGCAATGTTCTGGTGAGGGATGTTGGTCTCGAGCGACAGCAACGCTGGAAGTGTACACCCTTCAAGAACGTCTGAACCGCCGGCGTGTGGGTGTGACACGTGAAGGGTTTGAAGGTTGCCAGACATCTGTTGTAAGAATGCCCGGTATCGCGCTTTCCTCAGTGGATCCACCATTGGTGGGAGGTGTATCTTCACATGGCGGGAGGTTGCAGAGACGCCATTCAAGGGTCTTGAATGATTGCCGGTGGCGATGGACGTTGTCGCCTAAACATTTGGGCTATCATTCGACGAGGCTCTCATATGCAAGCTGTTCCACCTACCATTGCGACGCGATTCCTGGGAACAAAGACTCAGACGATAGACTGTGGGGTCGTCAGTACGCTTCATTTATACACAGCGCAGCGCGGCTGTATGCCAGTGGCATCGCACGAGGACCATGGTGCGGCGAGTGCGTGCTTGAACAAAGGCGAATGGAAGAGTGAATGCAGATGCAGACAGGCCGGATTCGTCGTAGCGATGAAGGACGTGTGACGAGAACACTAGCGCAACTGCCGCTAGAGGGAAGGCAGGGGGGCGAAGGAGGATTTAGTGCGCGGTCTAGAGCGCGATAGTGGACATTCGCGCATTCTCCTCTACGCGCGCAGCTACTGCGCCGAATCGTAGGCGACTCGCTTTGATTGGTTTCTTTGTAGGTCCCTGCGTGGCATCGCGACCGCGTCAGCTTTGTGCTCAGATCCCTCCTGTGTGGACTTGCCCGCTGATCGCCGACCTCCTGCCGCTCTCCGTCACTCCAGTGTGCCTCATCGTTCACTGCCTAAACGCCCCCTCCCCTGGCACGGCTCCACTCTCGCCGCCCCGTCTTCGCGCTTGCACCCTCCTTTCTCCCGCGGTTCTCCACTCCCCGCCAGTCCGTCACTGGACCCGTCTTCCTTTGTGCTTCACTTACGGCGCCTATGCATCTGCTGCAGCCTCGTCGTGACCCTCCTCTTGTAACTTGTTCTTCCCGACTGCACTCGACGACCACTCAAAGAAGCGACGGGCGCGCGGCTGCCAGAGGATCATCGACGTTGCGATACTAGTACCTGTATATTCGCGTGATGTGCGCGGCCGTCGGCACGAGCTGCCCGAACCGTGGGAGAAAGTAACGGCTTATTACATTAACACGAACAAAGGACAAGGCTCCTAGGAACGCGAGGCGGGGAAGGGATGGGAGAGGAGAACAGAGGGTGAAGACGTGGCACAAAAGGGTTTGGCAGGAGACGGCGAGAATGTCGTGGAGAGGGCGTCCATACCCGCACAACTCCATTGATGTCCCGCAAGAGCCTAGCGGAGGCGCTATGGATGTACGTGCTTTGTTCGACCAACCTGTGTGTGGGAATAGACCCTGGCGTGGTGAGCGATCGGGCAGTCTAATGCATGGCGGCGCGTGTCGGTACCATGCGCCGAACGCGCGCCAGAACGGGAGGGCCATGAGCCGGGAATACACACTAAAGGAAAGCACTATGGGCGATTTGACTGACGTCATTAGGGATGCCAGGAAAGCAGAGGCAATGTCGATCAGCGAACAACCACATCTTAATTGTATGATATATATAAACATATAGGAAACATACCTCTGGACAGATGGAGTAGTGGTAGCAGCGCTTTCTATATTGTGCTTGATGGTACCGTACACGCGAGTTCGACTCCCACAGTCATATTTTTATACTACTACGCCCAACTGACGGAGTCTCCCAAGACGCTGCTTTGCGGCTCCCAGTGCATCCAAAAGGTCCCGCGCACCTCCCAGTTGCACTAACAGACTGGTACGTAAAGTGACTCCCGGCGCTTCCGAGAGGTTACCAGAGGACCCCAGCGGCTCCCGGAGCTCTCAAGGGGCTACCAGCGGCTCCCGGAGCTCTCAAGGGGCTACCAGCGGCTCCCGGCGTTCTCAAGGGGCTACCAGAGACTCCCGGCGTTCTCAAGGGGCTACCAGAGACTACCGGCGCTCTCAAGGGGCTCCCAGAGGCTCCTTGGTTACGACGGGCTTCGGAGCCCGAAAATGCGTAGAAAATGCCTGTCAAAGGTGTCATTTTCGGCGGGCGTTTGTCTGGTGGAGAAAAAGGGTGGGAAAGGCGAAGTTTTATGTCAAGTTTCCGTGTGTGGTAAAGTATCCTGAAAGGTGACGGTTTGGGCGGATTTTCGGACAAAGAAAAGGAGACTTGTTCGTGTGAGTTTCCAGGGGAAAAAAACGGGGGCCTCAGGTGACCTTTTCTCCGCATTGTTCGGCCCGACATAAAAGCACCGCAAAGGCCCATTTTCAGCGCCTTTTCAGCGCTCCGAAAAATGCACGGTCAACAAAGGGCGACCTTTGCGTGCTATGGAAATGGGTACTAAAGGCCTCTTTATCGACGCTTTTTCGCACACCGTAGCACAATCTTTGATTTCTCTTTTCCACCCATTTCTCTCGCCAACATTCTTTCCAGCCGATGTGACATTTGCTCCGTTTTTTCGGCCCTCCAAAAATCTCGTAGAAATTGCCCATTTTAGTCCCTTTTTTCACACGTGCACAAAAGGCGGCAGAAAAGACACCTTTGACAGGCTTTTTCTACGCATTTTCGGGCTCCGAAGCTAGGCCGTTGCCCGTCGTGACCTCCGTTGTGCGACTGCTCAAATGAGCGCCCTGTAGTCGGACCGGCGAAGTGCTTATTACATAAGCGGCTCCATACCAGCCGGGCCTGGCCAACGCTGTCGTGGGAGCGAAGAGAAAGCAAGGCGTAGGGAGAGCGCAAATTCGGTAGCCAATGGGCGGGGTCGCTGCTAGTGGTGCTACGGGATCCGACCCGCGTATTGCTACTATGAAGGCGGGCCCGAAAACGCGAAAGCATCGTCAAGCATTAAGGTGATGAATGCAAAATGAATTCATGTGGAAGGCGCCGAAAGGAGCGCCCGTCCCTCACCTGCGCCGCGCTATCGGCATCTAATCTCGCAGATAGGCGCATGCGCAAGTCGTAGACGGCTTGTTCAATCTCTCCATATCCCTCTCGTCATTACACTCTCTTCTCAATCGATCCATTGCCTCACCTATCTATGCCGCGGTAGTTCCGAAATTGACAAAACGTTTGCTCCTGCGCCAGGATCCACTGCTCTGGGTGGCAGTACGGGGTAGAGGGCAGGCGATAGGGCCGCACGCCTGTTTCATCGTGGCCTGCGAGACCCTGGCGGAGAGGTTGCCAGGAACGGGATACATCTGGTGAGTATCTCGCGTACTCCTTGCCACACCCGCATGCACGAAGCCCGCATCGGTGTGGCTTTAGGTTTGTCGTGGAGATCCTGAAGCAAATCTTGCTATTGCGCGTCACGAACTCTCGAATGTCCTCAGAGACACCGTCGCGTAAGCTCTCAGGCTCCCCTCTGCGTTTTATGCGCGTTTATGCACCATGTGTTTCTTCGACCACATCCATCACCATGATATCAGAGGAAAGAGGGATACCTCGCTGCCTTGAGGACCTCATCGTTGGAAGAAGAGCTCCGGAATTGTCAAATTCCGTGTTTCTGTGCGCCTCGTTCGCTCACATCTCTTTCTGACTAGGATCCCGCCATCTATCGTCTACGATCAATTGGCCCCAGCAACTCTCGCGCGCTTCCATGCCATACGTGGGGGCCAGGCTCCTGCGGCGGCTCAAGTCACCTCGCTGGCTCAGCGGTTTCCCTGAAACACGATCCCAGCAGGGTATCGCCGTACGGTACGCGAAAGCGTGCCAGTACTTCTCGTGTCTACGAATGGATGCTTTGGGGACACCACAAACGCCACGTGTCTTGTACGCCGAATGTCGTGGTCCGTGGATGGGCGCACACGAGAACGGTCACGACGCTGCTATGCGTTTCAAAGGGTTTTACGGAGGATTTTTGATGGGCGCGGCGGGTGGTGGCGCGCTCTGCGCATCTCGACATTATCCACAGTGTATGTCTTCGCTATTTTCTGTCACTGATGTTTATTGAAATTTGGAGATCACGAACTTTGTTCGGCGCCCTCCAGCGCTGCCTCCTCCAGAGATGCGGGGCATGTCAGACAGTTACTGCGAGTGCATCATGCTCCTAGATGCGACTACTTACGATAGATGTGATTGCATACAGATTCCCGTCCGCCGCCGAACCCCCGCCAGAATCAGGGTTCAGACGCGGGACGCGCATCGTGACCGAATGCGTGCCTGGTAGACCGGTCAATCGCGTAAGTTTCCCTCTATTGAACCCCTTCTCAAGACTATTCTGAAGCGTAGACATGTGACAGGGGAATGCCGTCACGCACAAGTTCCGGTTCTACGCGTCACATTTACATGGGTTCTGAACCTCACGCTGGATAGCAGTCAAGCAAAACAATTTCGAAGTAAACTTTGTGGTAGGTCTCACCTGCTGTCGTTCGTGCTCGTACCGCGCGGAGCCGCTTCTGTGGCCCACTTCTAAAGTTCTAACACATGTTTTTAGCCTGCTGCCATATGAAGGTTATCAGCGGTGGATCACCTGCAGTACCGCCGCGGTGGAACGACGGCACCTCAGGGTGCGATGGTGCGTCGACTGCCTTCCATGCATTGCCGTCATCCCCATGCGTTTGATATGTCCAATCAGTGCGCGCCTGACAACGCGCACCTTGGGTGGACGCCATGCTTCTGCCCGGAACATGGCAGTGCCGTCGAACGCGGGGCCGACGTGATCGCCCTCATCTCTCACCTCCTTTCTCCGCTATACTCGCGGGTCTGCGAGCACGCCCACGGCGTGCGTCTTTGGCCCACCAACGTGGCAAGTCCCTGATAACCGCCGACGATCGCGGGCGGGAGGTGCGCGCATCCCCCTTCTCCCACTTCACCTCAACTCATGTTTTGCTGCTCCACTAGTACGCGCGAGGAGAAATTGACACGGCCCTCGCTGGCGCGAAGACGGCCCTGGGGGTCGTCCAGGGAGTGCTCAAGGTGGTCTTAACTCCGTACGTCGCTGAGGGCGTGAACATTCTCATCACAATTGTGGAGAAAGTCGAGGTACGCCACGAGCTTATGGCCGTTATCTCGTATGCTCATCTCCGCCATCCTCCGTTACACCAACACCTTCGCTATCTGTTCTGTAGGAAGTCAGGTCGACCAAGAAAGGGCTCAAAGAGCTGGCGATCGAGCTGGGTACTCTCGCCAAAATATTGAAGGAAGAGTGTGAGCAGATTCAGAAGAGGACGGTAGACGTCAGCGGACGGGAACAGCTTCAGGATCTGGGCGAATCCGTGAAGGACAGGACGATGGGATTCCTAAAGTGCGTCACAGCCTCTCTGTATACGATTCGAGCCTCCTCAACTCCCTGTAGTCAGGTGAAAGAGCTACGAAGTGAAGCTGAAAAGCTGCACACAGGCCCATGTTGGCGTCGATGCATCTATAGCGCACGCGATGCACAGACGCTGAAGGACATGCAAGCGAAAGTGACTCATATCATCAGGTTTTTCCAGGTGAGCAAGCATGCTCGCCCGCTCAGCGCCGTCGCTCACTGCACGCACACAGGTAAACTGTCTCGTTGTAATCACCCAGGCGATGGACCAGCTTATTGAGAGGATGAGTCAGCAGAGTGAGTGCATGTAGTCATTCAGGCTGCTCATTATATGTTGCTTATTTCCGTGTTGGCGAACAGGACGTGACGATGTACTCGAGAGACTACCGCGCGCCGATGCGGGATACCGTGCGTCAACCAACAACTCCAAAAGCAAGTTCCTTCCAGGAACTTGCAAAGAGATGTTCGAGCGGCTCTCCCAGTGGGTTCGCGGCGAAGGCGCGGACGTCGAGGGCCGGTTCATCTGTCATATTTCTGGCGTTGCCGGCGCAGGAAAGTCTACTATTGCCCGCGAGTTCGCCGAACTCCAAGACAAAGACGGTGGACTCGCTGCGTCATTCTTCTTCGCTCGTGACGTCGCGGACTGCTCCTCCACTCGCCTTTTCTTCCCGACCCTCGCTTATCAAGTCGCGCGATCTCAAGGAGACATCTGCTCCCTCATCGTCGACGCCGCCCGGAAGCATCTCAACCGCGGCCAGAGTCAACAGATGCAATTCGAAGCGGAGGCCCTTTTGACGAAGCCGTTGTCACTGGTCGATCCCTCGCATCGTCGCATCGTCTTCGTCGTCGACGCCCTCGACGAATGCGTCGAACCCATGGACCGCTCTCTCCCCGGCACCTTGGTCGAGCTCTTCGTCGGCGGTGCGCGGCGAGCACGCTTCCCAGTGAAGATTTTGTTCACGAGCCGTCCCTTGGATGCCGTCGAAACAGCTATATATGCCAGTATCGACTCTCTACAGGACAAGATCTACTCGCTCGACCTCAGTAAACAGTCCCCTGCATCCGTGCTTGAGGACGTCAAGCTGTTCCAAGTTGGAGACTGGCTAGCCAAGAGCATTCGTGGCCCTATAGTAGTGAATCATCAGGTGCATCTGTTACCATAGCCTATCAGCAGGTGCGGATGCACCTGTTGATCCGGCCGGCCCGGTTGCGCTCCCCACGCAGCCGCCGGCCACATGGGCGCGACACTGCCCCGAGACGTCCAGATACTGGCGCCTCGGGTCCTGCCACCTGAGCTCACCGTCTCTGACAGTGAGCTCACCTTCCTTTTTGTTTCACACCACACTTTGTATATGATTAGTGATCAAATATATTTATCAGTAAACTACTACACAGGTGGGCTAGCGAGTAATACTACGCCCCACAACAATGTGGAGGCAGAGGCGGAGGTGGGTGCGGGTGGGCGACACGGGCGGATGGGAGCGACGCGGATGGAGGCGGGCAACGCGGGGAGGTTGGCAATACGGGCGCGGAGGCGGTAGGCGGGCGTGGGGGATGTGAGCGTGTGGGACGCGGGCAAGGCGAGCATGTAGGAGGCGAGCGAAGAGGAGGCGCACGCGGAGTAGGGCGACGCGGCCAGGCGAAGGCGCGCCTGGCGCGCGCGGAGGAGGCAGGCAGGCGGGAGGACGCAGGCCAGGCGCAGGTGGATGGCGATGTGGGCGGAGAACGGCAACGCGGAGGAGGGCGACCCGGTGGCGCAGGCGTGGGGGACCCGTGTGAGGCGCAGGCGGACGGCGAGGTGGGTGGAGAAGGGTAACGCGGCGAGGCGGGCGCGGAGGAAGTGGGCGTGGAGGAGGCGGGCGCGGAAGAAGGCGAGGCGGCGACGAGTGACGCAAAGGGGGAGGGCGAGGACGTGGGCGAGACGAGGGCGGACGAGACGAGGGCGAGGCGGAGGCAGGCGACACGGAGGAGGCGACATGGGCTGGAACGACGCGGAGGAGGGGGAGATGAAGGTGGTGGGCAACGCGGCGGCGCAGATGGCCAAGGGGTGGGCGGAGCAGGGCGAGGAGGAAGAGGGCAGCGAGGAGGAGGGCGACGCAAAGGCGGGTGGCGGGGGCGGGCGACGCGGAGGAGGAGAGCGACGGGAGGGTCGGGCGGACGTCCTCAGGCCTGTCATGGCATGGGTGGGCGTTGGGAGTGCAGGAGAACGGAGCGGAGAACTCACTAAAACAAAGGGCCGCGGTACATCGCCGCGGCTCCCATATTCCAATCTCCATATTGAGGACGTCCGCATGGACGTCCTCGCGCGGTGTGTTTGTTGTGAGAGTGGCCGGGAAGGTGACTGAAGGGCGGGGTCGAGGTCGAGGTCGGGAGGTCGGGAGGTCGGGAGGTCGGGAGGTCGGGAGGTCGGGAGGTCGGGAGGTCGGGAGGTCGGTGTCACCTGGTGACACCGGAGTCCAATAGCAGGCGACAGTCGACCATATGGTCGCTATCGTCTACCTGGGCAGAGCGGGGAGGCTGGGGGCGACGAGGGTGGAGGAGGAGGAAGAGGAGGAGGAAGAGGAGGAGGGCAAGGACGGCGAAGGGGACGCGTGGCGTGCATCACAGCCACGCGTTGATGCGCGCCATTCGTCCTTGCCGCCCGCCAAGGCGCGTCTACACGGGCGCGCATCACGGATCACCAGGTGCATCTGTAGCTGCCGATAGGCTATGGCAACAGATGCTCCTGACGATTCACTGCTGCTCCGTGGCCACCACATGCTGAAGCACCGCAGCGACCTCGTCGATCGTCTGGCGGAGCGCTCGGAAGGGCTGATGGTCTACGCAGACACGGCCGTCAATTATCTTGGTGAATACCCCGAGGACGTGGAAGACCGCGCAGAGTATCTCCTCTCCAACCCCAAGCGATGTGAGCTGCTCGGGCCTCTCAACGACCTCTACCTGAAGGTGCTCGAGATCGCGTTCCCAAGGGACAACATGGAGAACGAGGAGCCGCTGCGGGATCGTGTGCAGACGATGCTCGGGACCATCGCGCTTCTGAGAGACCGCTTCTCGCCGAACGACCTCTATAAGCTGCTGTCTACGCCCACGGAGACGTCTGTTTCCGTCCTCCGCCACCTTCGTTCCGTCGTCTTCTTCGACCGCAACGACCTCGACGCGGCGTTCCGCCCCTTCTCCCAGTTCGTCGTCGACCTCCACCCGAAGTACGACAAGGGCCCGTACCTCGTGAACACGGTGCGCGAGCACGGACGCATCGCCGCGGGGTGCCTCGACACCCTCGTGTCTTCCCTGCATCAGAACCCGCTCCATCTAGCGTCTGGGACGGCGCGGTCAGGCGTCGCGGAGGTGGAGAGGCGGGTGGCGGCTGAGATCCCGAAACACGTGCGGTACGCGTGTCTGCACTGGGCGGGCCACCTCGCGCAGTCGGACCAGGACTCGAAGGACGTGTACGCGGCGCTGGACAAGTTCGCGAAGTCGGCGCTGCTGCGGTGGGTGGAGACGATGGCGTGGATGGGCCGGATGGACTCGGTGACGGTGTCGCTGGACAGGGTTGTTGCGTGGCAAGTATGTCTTTGGGGTTTTTTTTCGCGCTTCGGAGGCTGATGGCGACCTGCTCTACAGACGGCCAGTCCTGCACGGAGGGTATTGGAGAGCGTGCGGGTGTGGCTTGGAGAGCACCCTAATACGTTGAAGGACGATCCTGAAGCCATCTACCAGTGCGGCGGAGCTGGCGTTCAAGAAACCGTACGAGAGACTCAGGTAAGTCATATCTGGAGAGCCTCGGCGCATATTTTGGCGTACGTACGCTCCACACGTGTTTAAAATCTCATTCTTGTGTTCCTGTAGAGCCACTACCTGGACATAGACGCTGCTCCTCAAATCCAAACCGTTCGGAGAGTGGAGGCTGTTGGTGAAAATACCGTCCAGGAAACCGCAGCGGGTGCCTCAAATACGGGTTCCGCTACCTCCCCCTCCTCGATGGCGGGATCTGCTACGTCCTCGACGACAGGCACAGGCACATCCGGCTCCGATCCAGGGGCAGTCTCGGGCTCGACAGCCACAACGACCTCGAGTTCGGCACCAATCTCCGAAGGCGCAGGCGCCACGACCTCGGGCTCGGCCCCCTCAGCCGAGGAGCCTGTCCCCTCGCCGGAACCCGTTGTCGTAGAGGAGACTCCTGTTCCCGCTGATCCCGAAGCCACGATCGGCGAAGGGGCTCCTGCTCCTGCTCCTGCCCCTAAGCCGGAGGCCGTGGTCGAAGCTGCTTCCGAGCCCGAGCTCATTTTCAAAGCCACTCCCGAACCTGAACCGTGCGTTCAGATGGCTGCGACGGCGGCGGCGGAGCCGGAGTCATCCGTCGAGGCCGTTCCCGATCCCATTTTCGAGGTCGCCGTCCTGGAGCCGGAGATCCTCGTCGAGGAAACTCCCGCCCCGGAGCCGGAACCCGTCGTCGAAGAGACCCCTGCGTCGGACCCCGTGGTGATTGAAGCTGCTTCCGAGCCTGATCTCGCGCCCGTTGTGGTAGAGGCTGCGTCAAAATTCGAGCCGGAGTCATCACCGGCGGTAGAAGTCATTCCAGAGACCGAACCCGTTGTGGAAGCGGCCGCAGAGCCGGACCCTATGTCCCAACCCACTCACCGTCCAGGACATGACGATGTGTTGGAGACACTGCCACGCGCTCTTGCGGGATATGAGAGTCACCTCGCGGACCCACAAAGAAGGCTTCTCCCCGGCACGCGCCAAGACGTGGTCGCAGAACTCTCCCGATGGGCCACCGTCCAAGAAGCAGACGTCTCCACGCGGACTATATGCGTTCTCACCGGTGCGCCTGGTCTAGGCAAGTCGACCATCGCGGCGGAGTTCGCACGACGCCTCGGCCAGCGGCTCGGGGCCTCGTTTTTCTTTGCACGTGGCATCGCCGACACGTCCTCCACTCGACTTTTCTTTTGCACTATCGCCTACCAACTGGCGCACTCCCAAGGCGACCTCCATGACGTCTTCGTTCAAGCCGTCCGAGGCCACATCCACGACGTTGACGGCCTCCTTCTCCAAGATACAGGGAAGATTCTCTTCCGGGATCCGCTTCTGTTGGCTGAGGCGCGATATGACGATCCAGTCTTCCTCGTCATCGACGGTCTGGACGAATGTATCGATGCGCACAAGATCGGTCCTTCGAAGATGATCGAATCACTCATTTCCAGCGTTCGACAAGCGCCATTCCCACTCAAGATCTTCTTCACATCTAGTCCTGGTGACGTTGTTGACACGACCGTCATCGCCAATGTCAACCGCGTGGACAAGATTCATATCGTGGACCTCAACCAGCAACGTCTTGAGTCGGTGGATCGCCGCGATGTCAGGCTGCTCCTCAGCCATCGCCTTTCCAACGTCGTCTCCGAGCCCCTTCTTGATCGCTTGGCTAGGTGTGCGGACAAGAACTTCCTGTATGCCGATGTGGCAGCGCGCTTCCTGGTAGAAAACATCACCGACGTCAACAGCCGTGCGGAGTACATTCTCTCCACCTCAGGCCCAAGTGGGGCGCTCGGCCCGCTCGACGGCCTCTACCTCAAGATCCTCGAGACCGCCTACCCACGGGACGTCCTCCACACGGAGAAGCATACCCGCGATGACATGCAGGCCGTGCTCGGCGGCCTGGCGCTCCTCCGCGACGCACTCTCCCCTAACACCCTCCAAACCCTCCTCGGCCCGACGATCAAGAAGCCAATCTCCGTCCTCCTCCGCCTCAGCGCCGTTGTCGATTGCAACCCCAACGACCTCGACGCGCCCGCCCGCGCGTTACACGACTCCTTCGCGCGTTTCCTCGTCGCCCGCCCCCGCGGCACGACAAGGGCCCGTACCTCGTCGACACGCGCCGCGAGCACGCGCGCCTCGCAGTCGCTTGCCTCCGCGCTCTCCTCACCCTCGCGCGTGGCCCGGTCTCACCGCCGCACGTGCGGTACGCGTGCGTACACTGGGCGGCGCACCTCGCGCAGTCGGACCAGACGAGGGAGCTGTTCGGGCTCGTCGCGAGCTTCGTGCGGGGCGCATTGCTTAGATGGGTCGAAACCATCGCGGAGATGAGGAGGTTGGACGTCGTCGACGAAGCGCTAGAGAAGGCGTCGGCGTGGCAGGTGCGTTTCGACCTCGATGCGGGTGGGCGCGATCATGACGCTAACACGCGCAGTGCAGGAGGGCGGGAAGACTCGCAGGTCGCTGGCTGATGTGCGGAAGTGGGTGGGCGAGTATCGGGACGTCGTCAAGGTGCGCCCGAGTGCTGTGTATGAATGCGGGATCCCGTTGGGTATGTGATATGCGTCTCCTGTGTTGTCTGTGCATGCTGACACGTTATCCTGGTACGTCACTGCAGATCGATAAGTTATTTGGACTCTGTTCTTCTTTGGTAACTAGGCTCCGGTGCGTTTTGGTGTTTTCTTCTATGTATTCATCATGAAGTACTCTGTCTTCGTGCATCACGGACGTTGGGAGTTCCGTGGGAGAGCGCGCGATCCTGCCGGCGTCTCCGACTTCCCGTGCCTCATTTGCTTGTGTAGAGTCGTCGCGGACGCAAATAGCCGTATATGTGGCATGATGTCTCATTCCCCTTCTCACACAACTCTCCCCCTCCACTCCGCCGTGCCTGCGTGCGTCTCCGCCAGTGACGGTGACGCCAAACATTTCGTCCTGTTCTACCTTGTTTGTCACTTCCTATTGTATGTTTCCCTAGCCCTCGCCTCGTTCGGAGTGCTCGTCGTAGTCATCATCTCCATTGTATCACTGTATAGCTCACATTGCTCATTATTGCCATCATCAGGAAAAAGATTTCCTACAGAGCACAGCTACAGACTGCCCGAATAAGCGCCATGTTCGGACCGGTGACGCGCGCTAGCGCTGCCGTCGTGTGGTGGTGCGCGAGGGCACTTCGCGCTGTGGCCCGCTCGAAAACTAAACGCGACCCAACTCGTGCTCCTGCGCGAGAACGGCCTAGCGATATTGGAAGAACTGTAGAAGTCCGGTTTGCGCCACAGCATTCGGCGACAGGATTTGTGTTTCTGTATGGTACCATGGAAATTGACTTACCTATACCTCGTCTCAGTGCATAACTATCTCCTCTCTTAATGTTCGCATTTTCGTGTTGGTTCCTAGTGTTCCGGTGTACGCCCTCATCCGAGGCACTACCAGTATCCTTAGTCATGTATACTACGTTCCCACACATTGTACAGTACTATGCCGCCGTATTGTCCTAGATCGATATCCAATCTATCATCCTATCCACCATCGTCGTCCTATCCGACACCCTGTCCGTCATCCGGCGTCCTTTCGCCTCTACGGCTCTCTTCGTCCACTGCTTGATTCTTCACATTTCGCACATCTGCTTTACGGAAAATACGGATTGAATCCTGTTTTACAACTTCCGTAGAACACTTGAACGGATAAAGTGCACCCTGAGTATCCTATCGATTTACATTGTGCTCCTACCAAACGTCCCTGGCGTCAGACGAGCGTGACGGCGCCAAGGTCACCTGACGTAGTTGTGTTTGCGCCGCCTTACTATAGGATGGATTCAGGGTCCTCATTAGGGAACTGAGTATTCCCTGACGTTTGACGACAATTTCCGGCTCCGGCCGACCTGGGGCAGGGGGTGCTTGAACGGGCTCCACAATACCGGGCTCCGCCCGGGCGACCTCGAAAATGGGCTCGGGGACGGCCTTGACAACTGGCTCCAGGGACGCCAAGGACTTGAAGGTCTCCAGAAGCTGTACAGAATCACTGATGAGCTCCGCCGCGGCCGAACCTGAGGTCTGGGCCACCCCTGGACCGGAGCCGGAGCCACTGGAAGAGCCAGTGCCTGCGTCTGTAGTCGAGGACATAGCCGATCCCGCCATCGAGGAGGAGGAGAAGGCGGAACCCGCCGTGTTCGAGGCACCCGCTGCGATTTCCTGCACGGCCTTTTTAACAAGGCGGTGGCTCTACAGGAACACAAGGATAAGTCTTCAGAAACGAGTGGGGTGTACATACGCTGAAATATGCGCTGAGGACTCTATCTAGATATGACTTACCTGGGTCTCTCGTACGGTGTTTTGAACGACAGCTCCTACTCTCCGGGTGCCCCACCGATAGATGGCTTCAGGATCATTCTTCACCATCTCAAGGTGTTCTACAAGCCACACATGCACACTCTCCAACACCTTCCATGTAGAACCGATCTTCTGTCGAGCAAGCCGCCATCAGCCTTCGCCGCCCGAAAAAAAAACCCCTAAAGGCGCACCTGCCACTCAACAGCCCTTTTCAGCGACATCGTGACCGCGTCCATCCGGCCCATCCATGCCATCGTCTCCACCCATTTAGATAGTGTTTCCTCTGCAAGATCTAGGGACGCCTCCGCGAGCACTTTGTGAGACCATTCGCTCTGTTCCAAGTGGTCGAACCAATGTAAACACGCATAGCGCACGTGTCTCGGAATTTCCGCTTCCACTCGCTTGTCTATGTCGGCGACGTTCGACCGTGTCGTTCCAGACTTCACGCTGAGTGGGTTGCGGCGGAGGTCGCTCGAGCCAAGGATTTTGATACATCCCTTAGCGATGTGTCGGTGCTCCTGTGTCTCATTGATGTGGTAGTACTTGGCGCGCCCTGTAAACTTGTCGTTCACGTTGATGCCGTGAAGGAAGTCGACGAATGAAGAGTGAATGGGACGAAAAGGTGCATTGACGTCACCGCGCTTGTACAGGATAACGGAGCGAAGATTGCTGAGAACGGAGGTGGAGTCCTTGATGCGAATGTCAAGCAGCGGCTCGAGATCGACGGGCGACAAGCGGTCTCGCAGGAGAGCCAGAGCTCCTAGCACTGTCTGAAGATGCAACAGCGTCTCCGGCTCCTCCATCAAATCTTCTTCAGGGTACTCCTTCTCTAGGACCTTGAGGTACAGGTCGTAGAGTGGTCCGAGGAATTGAGCGCGCTCGAGGCTGGACAGAATGTGACGGGCGCGGTCATCAATGTCGTCCGGTTTTCGAGCGAGGAAGCCTGCAGCGGTAGCACCGTAGAGCATCAATCCCTCGGAGCGCTCGACGAGGCGTTCAACGAGCTTGTCGCGACCTTCGAGGAGGTCTCGGCCGGGGTACGCAGTCTTGAGTTCATGTTGAATGAGGATCTTCACGTCTCGGTCCATGGACTCGCGACACTGGTCGTTGAGATCGAGGGTGTAGATCTTCGCCGACGATCCGACGCTGGTAGTGATAGTGTCTTCCACTATATCCTTCGGACGTGATGTGAAGAGTATTTTGACGGGGAAGGGAGCTTCCGCAGCGCACGACACCAGCAGGTTCATCATAACGCCAAACTGCTTGTGGTCAATAGGTTCGGCGCATTCATCGAGCGCGTCGACGACAAGGATGACTGTAGGGTGATGACGTTCCACGGACGAGAGGGGATTCTTGAGGAGATTCGTAGCTTCGTACTGGAGCTGTTGGTGCTGACCGCCTTCGAGGTGTTTAGACACCGCCTTGACGATGAAACGACATATATTTGGCTGGGACTTCGCTACCTGGTAGGCGATTGTCGGGAAGAAGAGACGAGTAGAGGAGCGCTCGGCATCACCAGTGGCGAAGAAGAAGGACGCGCCAAGATCGCCGCTGTCGAGCCGTCTGGCGAGTTCCACCGCGATTGTTGACTTTCCGGAGCCAGCCGCTCCTGAGAGGATGCAGACGCTCTTTTCGGCAGTGTTTACGTCGTCCCCTCGAGCCCAGGCGATGAGACTTGCGAATAGGTCTTCACGCGTACCCTCCAAGAACTTGCTCTTCATGTCATTTCCCGCCGCTTTGTAACCTGCGTTGGCCCGTGGCAGTCGTTCCAGTGCGTTTTCTGCCGCTGTGGCAGCGAGACTCGTAAGCTGCGATTCGGTATAGGACAGTGCAGTATGTCCTCACCCGTTCTTCGCATCAGTTCATCTATTCTCCGCATCATTTCACTCGTTATAGCCGCATCTTGCGCGAGTTTCATAAGGTTCAGTGTCTGCCCGAAGATTGAGCGGAGCTGACGGCGCTACATGGGACACACGCACATGGACCCGCGTTATGACGGCACTGACTTTGGCCTTGAGGTCTTGAAACGTCTTGGCGTTCCTCTCAGAGAAAAGAAGCCGCGACGCGAAGGACTGCTTGTGAAGTCTCTGGGCCAACTTCGCAATTTTTCGCAGCTCCCTGGGACATAATGAGCACGGAGTCGCAGTACGACAGCAGTCAAACGACTCACATGACGAACCTTCCGAGTTCGGTTCGGTAGTGTTGCAGCCCGCTGCCCCGTTTTATGAGCTCCTTGGCCTGTTCATCGCTCGCCGCGGTGTCCTTGAGTCTGAAGACGCCATCAGTCAGCAACCGGGCGAGCTCCCCGATTTCCTTCGCTAGATCTTTGAGCTCCGTCTGCGTTGACCTCGTGCCCTTCAGAGAGCACAAGTGGCGTACTCAGCGACGATTCTAGAGCGTGAGAGTCGTCCGCTCACCTCTACCTTCTCAATGACGCCTATGAGAGCTTCTGCGGCCTCGGTCAAGTAGGGGACTGGGACAAACGTTAGCGCCGTCAAGCCTATCTTCAGGACAGTTTTAGCGCCTTCGAGCGTGTCATCGAGTATCTCCCTGCGATCGGCGTGGTGAGAGAAGGGCATCTGGGAGGAGGGTAAGTTGTGTCCGAGAGGCAGCTCCTCGGACCTCGAAAGCATGGCTCGTGTCCTGGGAACGTTGCAGTGACAGAACTCTAAATCCACATATCAACGTGTTCTGTAAGAAGATCCCGGGTGATGCATGATGATTGAAGATGCGTGAAGGGCGGACGATACTCCAGAAGCCTTGCCAATGATCCCGACCTCGGCCTCGACGATGTTCAGCACGTGTTTCATTAAGTGAGTAGGTAGGAGAGCCCGAAAGGAAGCAACCGTACGTAAACGACACATCCCAAGAAACTCGCGTATACTTTCCCAACGTCAAATAGGCCATCGCCCTCACCACCTGCACAGCCCATTCAATCACACATCAGCGTTAAACTCCAGGCTTCAAACAGAACACTTACCGCCTAGTTTTTGCGCCTCTGCTCGCGACGTGCTCTGATGGCTCGCATGCTCGAGCTTCTGTATGCAGTGGGTTACCGAGGGCATATACGCGTGTCGCGCATGCGCTAGGATCCGGATGTGCATCAGCTCGTAGACCGGGAGGAATCCGCGCGAAGAGCACGCGGCAGCTTGCACGCGCGCACCTCTAGCCCTTCGGCGTGCGACCCTCCTTGGATGGTGGACAACCGATGTCTGCTTCTCATTAGTGAGGACGATCCGCATACACTAGTACGTCTGCGGATTGGTGTCTAGCTTGTCCCCCTAGGAGGATACCCTATGTGGGGCGCGATAGGGGAGGCTGGTGAAAGAAGCATGCCGTATAGTCAGCGATGTCCGATGGGATACTCTGTGCCGCAACATCCAGCTCGCCGGACGTTGCTCGGAGACGAGGTTCATGAGGCGGTCTCAAGAATCCCCCTGTTACCTTCAGCGGCTTCGAGAAGCTACTTGCTGAGGTCTACAAGGTGGAGGGTCTTGGTATGGTCGACGTAGGAGACTAGCGCAACCTTCGATAGATAGTTGGAAGCGGCACGCAGCAAAACACCAAATTACACGCACCTGGAAAAACGCCTGGCCTCCATCGCGAGCTTTAAGAGGCGGTTCCCGTTCGTCGAATCCCGGCAATACTCCTATCCGCCGTCCGGGCATTCAACGCAGACGAGCCGCGGACGATGAAGCATTCAGGAACCCGTTTCAGCCGTATTAACGTCTCCAAAGCACGGTCTACGCAGCATGGTGAGAAGCTTCACAGAGCGCGAAGATGAGACGTACCTCGGCGTGGTGAATGGCTGGTCGGGAAACGCCCGACCGGGATATGCAAGCGTTCGTGGTGGGTGCGACTGAATGGGTCTCATGGGCTAAAGAACGCGGGGAATAAGTAAAAGAATCCTCACCAGCATCTCCCCGGCACCCTCTGCCACCAACATCGATCTTGCGCACGTTCCCGGGTCGAGGTCGTGCATAAGAGAGCCTCGAAAGGTCATACCATCCGACGGCGCGATGTAGACCTGAATGAACGCACAGACGGGAACAACGGTCACGCATTGGCGGCCCCCTCCTGTCCTTGAAACTTTTGAACCGGACGTGCCGCTCTCGAAGTGGTAGAGGCTTTCATGGCGCGTGAAATGGAAGGAAGTACTCTCGCGGCGGAAAGAAGACTGACGGCCTGTGGGAAGGGAATAGGTCGGACGCGAGAAAGCTTGGAAATTGAGCAAGACATACCTCGGACGGCTTTTATGAGTTCAAGTGATTGTGCTTATCCAACCCATTGCGGCTTCGGATTGCCGACGAGGCGAACGAGATTCGGTGCGCTCCGTTAGTGGGTCAAGGCCAACCGGTGCGAAGATGGAGGAGACTGGAAGAGAAGTCGAGTGATGTGGTGGATAGAGGAGTGGGTATTGCGAGCTGGTGAAGATAGTACAAGGCGGCATTGGGGAGCAGAGGACGGCGGGACTAGCGACTCGATTCGAGCAAGCGTCGGACGGATCGGCGTCGGAGTTGGGGTCGGGACTCGGACGCCCGTGTCGCGGCCCGCGGGCCGGCCACGCTGAGCGTATCGTTGCGCGGTTGTGTTCAAGGCTTGACGGTGGGTTAGTTCGCACTTCTCTCAGCACGTCACACCTTCCTCACTCCGTACGCTCTTCCCCGCACTTCGGCATATGATCAATGTAACGGTGAACGCGGACGCGCTCGCCGCGCTTCAAACTTATGCGCAGGGTTCGGCCTCTATGGCGCTGCTCTCCAGCGCAGTGTCTTTTCGGTCCGTCTTCAACGTTTCAACTCTCCGATTCCTAACTTCGGCGCTACCCTCTCCCTACCCCCTCGCTGACCCCTCGCGCAGGAAGGTCCTTAAGTGGCGCCGACTATGCAGGAGCTCGGGCTCTCTTACCACCATGTCCTCATCCCCAGCCAGCACGGCGAGTTAACGGCAAGTACAACCCGAAGTTCGAACGGGCGGATCCACGGCGATCATCGACCCCGCGAACGGCGACTTCGTGGGTTGAGAGTCCAACGCCATCCCGCTCTACCTCACCCACCGGTACGAGAACACGCGCGCGATCAGTGTGGGCAACGAGAAGGAGTGGTCCGAGCTGACACCATCAGCAAAAAAGCAAAATCATGCGATACATTGGAAAGGCTTCGAATGTCCGTGGGACATTCGAAGCCCTTCCAATGTCGCGCAAATCTATGCAAGTCATTCCAATGAAATGTGGTAAGAAAGATGAACTGCACGCGCTTTTGGCGCATTAGGCTGGTTATAAAACACCGCTTTTAATTCCGCTATAACATACTTACAGAATACAAGAGAGTGCATGCGTGGAACAGTGGGAGAGAGGCGAGCGCGGGGGCTGGAAGTATGCGCGTCCTGAGAACTTTGCGCGAGCGCGGGAACCACGTGATCGGGCGGCTACAAGATTCACGACGTCCAAGTCCCGTCATGTCCTCACCGAACTTCTTCTTCCTTCCCATTTGTCTTGTCTCCCTCGTCTTATCGTTTCCATATGCACCGTTCACCTTCCCCATCCCACATGATATGGCAGCCCGCCAGTAACCCATGTTAATGTGCGCATACATCCACCTATACACCACTCTGGTTGAGATTGGGGATGAGGGCTCCGGTGAGCATCGCCTTTGACGCGTGGTTAGAAGTTCATCTACCTCCTCAAGCTCGCGGGGCTCACGCACAGGTCCCTCGGTCCCTCCCTCAGCCTGAAGATGGGCTAGCTGAAGATTGGCTTGGTAGATATCGAGTGGATGGTCATGGAGGAGGCAGAAGTGCGATCTGGTGAGTTCCCATTCTGTTATTGGCACTTGCATTGAAACCTGCATGCGACCACCATGTCCCACCCATGTTCGCGGACCTGCACACTTGTTCGTGAAAATCATCTCGTACCTCGTCGATGCTGGTCACGACGGTGTTCCTGACGCACACGGCACCGCTCACGGACACGACGGTGGACGAGCTCCGGCTCGCCTGCCTGCACACGACGGACAATAGCGGCTGCGGGGCACACCCACGTTCGCACCGCTGTCGGGCAAGGAGGAGATTATCGGTGGGAGCATGCCAGTGGACGACGTCGAGGTGTGGGACATGCCGGAGAACGAGGGCGCGTTCGTCGCGCGGTTGCGCATCCCGCTCTTCCAGATCCGCATGCGTGTGTCCGAGTCCATTGCGCTCGAGTTCATCGCGAAAGGTGCGTCTGCGGTCTCACTTTGTCCTCTCGCGCATCCCCTTCCCCCTTTCTGCTGGTCGAACGAGATGCGGACACTGATCGGCGTTCGACAGGCCTCATGTGGGAGCTTTCACACATCGTTGCCTCGGAGAACGAGCGGACGCGGCGGAAGCTCGGCCACTCGTCCCAGCACTTGCACAAGATTCCCACCGCAATCCGGCTCAAGCACGTCGCGTGAACGGTGCGGCGGATGTCCTGCGACGAGTGTGCGAGGAACGCGCTCCTCGCGGTCTTCCTCAGGCGCGGGGTGTCGGGAGCGTCGCGCTCTTCGGGCGACTGGACAGCGCCTCCGCGACTCGAGCGAGCGCGTCGTGCCGTTCCTACGCGTGTGCGCGAGGACGTGAACGGGAAGGTGAAGGTATTCGTTGTCGTGTGCGTGCGTGTTCGTGCCGCCGCCGTGGTGGGCGGCGTGGGCGTTGACGCTTACGGGGACAGGTGAGTGCGCCGACTGCGCGGTGCCATCGTACTTATGCACAGTGCTACGCAGCTGCCTCCCCTCCTGCGCATCCTCAGGCCGACTCCCGCACGTAGCATGCCGCACAGCGAGGTCTTGATCGCCAGGATCACAGATCTCCGCACAGCGCAGAGCGGCCTTGTGTGATTGTCCTACGATCCATGTATGCACGTCTGTATTTAATAGTTACTTTGACCAATACAAAGGTTTCTTCCTGTCATATTTGATGTGTGAACAAAGGTCAGACTGCCGACGGTGCCAGGAAACCTCGGAGCATTCAGGAACATTGGAATGGCTTCCAATAACTCCGACCAGACATTGGAATGACTTGCAACCCTCCAGAACAGCTATCTATTGAACGCATGAACATTTTACATCATTCCGAACGTTTTATTCACTTCCAAGCCATTCCAATTAAAACGCTTTTTTGCTGATGACAATGCAGGCTCTTCTTCTTATTCCAGGCGTCCGTTCAAGGGTGCGTCTCCTTCCCTCCTTCTCCTCTCCGCGCGCGCATGAAGCCCGTACTTCGGGATAGGCGAACTGGGTCCTGTTCTGAGGGGCGGAGTTGATCCTGCAGGCTGCGCTGCGCGATCCGGCGCGGGTTCAGTGTGCTTGAGCATACCGAATGCTGATGTCCCGCAGTCGCCTTTCCATCCTCCCGTCGCCGCGCTGACAGCCTTCGCCAGCAGAAGCCCCGACGACAGCACCACCCAGGCTCTTCTTTACGCACACCTTTCCCACTTTTGTGCTCTGGGCGTGGCTGTACTCGTCCAAGATCATAGATCGTTCCGCACTCAGACCTCCTCGACGTCCCCGCAGACTATCCACCGGTTGTCCAGCGTTCACTCCAAGAGAAAGAGCGCAAAATTCGCATTAGGCCGACACACTACACTTCCGAAACCAAGAAGCTAAGACACTGGGCGTCGACACTCGACCCTCCCCCACGTCCCCGCCAACTAAGCCGATGAGCACATTAGAGGGTGATCGGGATGCAGCCGACAGAGATGAGACCGCCCTGTCACGAGCGACTGTCAGCCGAGCCGCCTTTCGACAGAGGGACGCGCGGGACACGTACGACGTTGTTGTTCTGGCAGCAGACGGCCTGGGCGTTGCAGGTGTTGCCGGAGGCGACGCCGACGACGCTGATGGGCGAGCAGTTGAGGCCGATAAGGCCCTGGACGCCCTGGACGACGACGCCGAGGAGCCCAAGGAGGGCAGAGCCCGCCGCGGAGGAGGACTGTGTAGCAACGTCCGGGTGAGTAATCCGTTTTCAAGTTCCACAGTCGCAGCCGGCGACACTCACAGACTCGGTGGACTGGCAGCACTGGATCGGGCCCGTCGAGCACGAGTCCGTGCGCGCCGCGAGGGGGGTGGCGGCCGCAAGGGCGGGGAGAGCAGCGAGCGCGAAGGCGGCGACACGAGTGAACATCATCTTGGACGAGGGAGGGTGGGTGTGGAAGAGAAGAAGGGAGTGGGCTTGAACGAGCGATTAAGAGCTGAGGGTGCGTTTGACCTGAAGCTTGCCTTTTTCCTGCGCTGCCCCCTCACTGTTTTATACACCCACAGGAGCGCTCGCGAGGGGTGGACACTAGGCGCGACGCGCGAGCGAACGAGGGCGGACCACCGAGCCGTCCGAGCGACTTGAGCGCGCGTGCGCGCAGAGCGGGGATTGCGCGAGAAGGCAGGACGCGCGGGGCGCGCGCGCACCCGAACCGCGTCCGCGCGACGTCGGCCGCGATCGCGCGCGCGCAATGAGCGCGTCATGAAAGAAACACCGCCCCGCGTCACCGACACTGGGGACCCGCGACCTGTCCGACGGGAAACCGACGGGTAGAAGGGCGGGTGCCGTACGCAGATGGGCTGTGCGGTGCGTGAGATGGTTGTAAAGACAGCTGCTACTCAATTGGATGTCGAGGTGCCTCGTGCGGATTGGTGGGCCAAGGGCGACGTGGAAGGTGGATGGGCCGCGTCGGCGCGCGGACTGCGCGAGGCATTGCTGCAAGTTCAGAACTGTCCGCGCAGGCATGAAATGTGGACGCGGTGAGTTAGAACGTTTTGGGATGTATGATGGGTGGTGATCCACCTTTGTTCCTCTTGCAAAACAAGGCCTTCGTCATGGTATTTCGCGTCCATCGCGCCTGGATGCGTGGGTTGTGTGAACACCTGCAGAGTGACCACGCCCAGATTCCTTGCCAACTAAACAGCGCACAAACTCCCGGCGCGATCCCCGTCTCCGCCCTCGCACGGATGCACGCACGCGTTCTGATCCGGCGCGCACCATTCCTCCCGCCATGCCGCGAACGAGGAAGGGATGCGGAGATGCCCGTACGTCCAGGTGAATCTGCCACTGCGATCGACACTCCGACTTGCCCGTATGTTGGCCGGACTCCAACAAACGGCCACCCTTACCATCCGACCATGCGCACCCAAATCGCCATGACTTGTCCCTCGGACGCCAGCGCGCTCCCACTCGCGTTGAAATGTAGCCACGCCCAAAGACCGTCCTGCCCGTCAGCTCAGGCCGTTACCGCCCAACGCGCGCGGGACCGACGTCCCCGACGTCCCCGCCGACCGTATGTACGCCGAAGAAGGCGCGGCGGACCGTAGCGGGCGACGGAAATCCGCACCGCATTGCGCCGCGCACAACCTATGCCGACGATTTGCGCGGAGGGTGGCTGCAGCGACCGCCGTGCCCGGACGCGAAATTGTCGCGCGGAAGCCGTCTCGTTCAGCGCACGGCCGTCTAGAGCTTGGCTCCCGATTTTGCACACCGCCCGCGCTCGTGCGTGCGCGAAGCGGAATCCCCCGTCTCTTCTCTTCTCCTCCGCCACTCGGTACTTGGCAAGCTTGCAGAACGACAAAAGCAGCAGATGAAGAGCCCCCGCTCAGCGCGCCGAGGGATATCCGTTCCGGCTGCGCAGTAATACTCCGCCTCCGCGGGTTCCCGGCGACGACGTCGTCGGTACTTCTCGGGAGCTTGGCTATGGCATGAGCGCCGACCACGCGGACCGCCTTTCCACCCGTATTTGGAGTGAACGAACAACGCGTATCTCCTCATGCCTTTTGAACGTCTCACAGAGCAACTCATGGTACAAAAGCATGCCTTACAGTACACGATCATTTCAGCCATGACTTGGGCCGGAATGTCAGTGTGCGCCATCGTCGCAGTCTTCCACCGGGCTGCGTAGCCTCCGAGACTGTGGCGAGGCAGAAAAGCATAAATATAGGTATCAGACCAAGAAATTACTGTGAGACCACGTACCATTGTCCACGGACGCAGTGTACTCACTGACTGAGCGTTGATATGTGATCCCTGCAGTCTCGGCCTGCTCACCGCGCCCTCTGGGCCCGCGGGACGAGGCCGAGCTTTGACGACGAGACAGCGAAGCTACAACGCACGGATCAGCGCGATTGTACCAACGTCAAGCAAAAAACGCACCTTTATGCACTTTATACTCGTAAACAGCGTCTGGGTACTCCTTCAGCGTCTCAACGCGCTCGCCCACCCACGTCCGCAGGCTGTTCAGCCGCAACCTCACGGATCCAAAACTCTGCTCCAACGGCGTCAGCACCTGAACGCACGGCCGTGGCGACCAAGCACGCACCAGCCACTCGCACGCCGTCTGCAGCGCCCGCCCGACGTCGTCTCCCCGCCCCATCCACGCCATCGTCTCCACCCACACCAGGCACGCGTCCGTCTTCGCGAACTCCGTCAGCGCCGCCATCACCCCGTACTTCGCGTCCTTGTACGACTGCGAGAGGTGCACCGCCCAGTTCGTGCACGCGTACTGCACGAACCGCGGGACCGCGGCGAGCACCCGCCTGTCGACGTCGGGGATCGTCGACCGTGCCGAGCCCCGGATGGCGGACAAGGCGGTGTCTTGCAGGGCCTCGGTCGTGAGGGTCGTGAGGGAGCCCGCGGCGAGGTACGCGTGTCCGCATCGGGCGTCGAAGCGGGCCGGGACGTTGTCATCCTTGTGCTTGTGTTTCTCGGGGAGGAAGAAGTCGACTGACTTCGAGAGGTCGCTGGGGCGATAGGGTAGGAGCATGCTGCCGCGAATGTATAGAGAGTGGGAGATCGGGTTCAGGCGTGGAGGGAGTTGTGCAGCATCGCATATGTAGAAGCCTTCCGAGGGGCGACGAGCGATAGCGAGCCCCTAGCACTGCGAGAAGGTCTCCACGCGCCATTCTCCATATGTTGTGTCTAGGGCGTCAGAATGCGAATGGAAGCGCGGTCCGAGGCAGAAGGCGTGCACGGGACAGAGAAGAATGTGGTAGCCACGGTCATCGAGGTTTCCTGGTCGTTGGCCGAGAAGATACCATTGCAGGTCGATCGACCAGATTGTCGCAACCTTCGAGAGGGTCTTGACCATGGTACGCCATATTTCAATCGTGTCGGGCTAGCAATGTGAAGTGTTCTGGGGCTATTGACGTCGCTGAGGTCGACGAAACAGATGTCGTGTGGATGCTGGAAGTAGAGGTGGAGCGTGAGGAGGCCAAAGCGGAATGGCACTGTGGCGCCAGCGCATCGGCAATCGATGCATTTCAACGCGATAACTAGCAGCAAACCATCGTGAGCAATGGAACCCAGAATGTCGCCGCTATCACCGACCTCCGTACATCTCAAGGCCATTCTCCGCGTCGACGAGGACCTCCGGGCTTGAGATGGTTGAAGACCTCGGTGGAGTACTGACGCTGTGTGTAGCCCTCTTCTGTTTCGGGGGGTACTTCAGAGACTTGACAAGCTACTTGACACCAGCGACTTACTAAGTGACGGCTACGGGTGCGGCGTGAAAGGGGCACAGCATACCCGGGTCGAGGCCGTGGAGACGACTGCGCATATGTGGATATAAGGCAGGAGTGCACCTGGACCCCAGCATATAGTGAGCCGAAAAACGCAAAATTGGACGAAAGAAGGAGCAAGGAGGCAAACCGCAGGCGAAAGACACGTACGATATCCAAGCCATTGTCACGTCCTCATTCTCGCGCAACTTGTCCACCGGGAGGGACGACTTGGTCCTTCGGAGCGGAGTCCTTCCAGTCCAACAATGGCGTCTTCCTAGCCCGCTCGCCCGCATCCGCCCGTTCCGCCGCCTCGGCTTCCATCCGACGCAAATTAGCTCACTCATCTTCAAGACGGACGACCGAGGTAGGGCTGGGAGCGGCTTCTGGCTTCACGTACTCGAAGATGACGTTCGTCGCGTCCGTGAGCTTCTACGGGCTCTGACCCGAACGTTGTTATGCATTTTCGGCGCGGTTGAAAGACGAGAGGTGCGTGGAACGTAAGCACGGGATACTTCAGCCGGTATAACCGAAATGAGCACAGCGTGGGCCCGAGTCTCGACGCGCCGTGACTCAGAAGATGGTGCAAGGGGGGTAGGTAGAATACTCACCATCGGGCACACCGGGCGAGTACTAGCTCGGAAATGATATGCGCCGGGAGGTCTTCGGTGAGTGTATGCATCGATCGTAGAGATTGTGGCTGCATACGGGCGGGAAGAGGATAAAGGGTCCTCAATGCGAGCCCCACGCAGATCCAAGCAGCGACGCACCTGACTGTTTTCACCGCCTCGAATCCCGCAACCTCTCTGTCCAGAGTTCCTACAGCCCAGCCTCCTTGTCGGATGTGAACGTGGTACCAAGAACGACGCGGTTCTGAGGGCCCTTGTGTAGTATTGGCACGAGTCCGTCGCAAACCAAGGCTGCGAAAAAGCAGGAAGGGTGTTGGATCGTGGATGTTCTTGGAGTTGGAGAAGTCGAATCCTGCGTGCGGACTGGGAGGAAGAGAGCACGGAAGTTGACGATGATTGTTACGGAAATTTCCCTTTTCCAGTAATCACGCAGGTCACGGTGTTAGTAAGCCGAGCGCGCGGTCCCGACGCCCAGCCACGAGGCTACAAGAGCCCACTTGAGCGCCTCACGCACAACCGGGCCGCGGAGAGCAACCGCGCGCGCCTGCACGTTGCTTCTCGTGCCTGGAGCGTACCAGCGCCCTGACTACGTAGTTACTTTTTCCAGTATCGTACTCAAACGCCTCGCGCCTTACGGGCGATTGCTCTTTGTATTTCTGTTGACTCTACGCGATATATGAGCGCGAACAGGCGAGCTAATGTTGCAGCGCGCGAACGTGCGCGCGACTCGTATTGACTCGCGTATATCGTAGCTAGCAAATATGAAAGATCCCGCTTTTGGAGGAGCAATCTCCAGAAGCTGTTTGGGCTTTCGTACCCTCCTCGCAAGTCTCGGCTGGTGCGCTATCTAATCTCTTAGATAGCCGCGCTGGAAGGCGTCTCAATGATCAATCGTCATTTGAATTTCGTGGGAAATCAATCAAATTGGGCTGCATATGTAAACGCCATTTGAGGCCCATCTCGCATCTCGCCCACTCTCGCACTCCCTCTACACGCCACCATGGTCCTCAAGCTCTACGGAAAACCAACCTCGACGTGCACGAACCGCGTCCAAACCGTGCTCGAGGAGCTCTCCGTCCCCTACGAGTTCGTCGCCATCGACCTCACCAAGGGCGAGCACAAGGCGCCCGACTTCACCGCCGTCCAGCCGTTCGGCCAGGTGCCGTACATCGACGACGACGGCTTCGTGCTCTTCGAGTCCCGCGCCATCTGCCGCTACCTCGCGCTCAAGTACGGCGGCGTCGAGAAGGGCCTGATCCCCGCCGTGGGCGATCTACAGAAGACGCGCTGTTCGAGCAGGCGGCGAGCATCGAGCTCACCAACTTTGATGTGTTCAAGGCGTGGGTGCATTTATCTGCTTTGCGTATCCGCGCGCGGTGGGAAACGACCTGCGCTGGGCCGACAGGGACTGATTCTGGGCTTTCAGGATGTTCGCTCTCCGACCCACGGACCCCGAGGCGGTCGCGAAGCTCACCGCGATGCTCGACAGCAAGCTCGTGGCCTACGACGTCCTCCTCGGCAGGACCAAGTACCTCGCTGGCGATGTACGCTCTATGCTCCCCTGCCCCCGGGAGTCTCGCGCGCTGACTGGTCTACGCAGGAGATCATGCTCCCGGACCTCTTCCACCTCCCGTACGGCGCGATGCTCAAGAAGCGGGGCATCGACTTGCTCGAGAGCGGCAAATATCCGAATGTTACGCGCTGGTGGGCGGACGTCAGCTCGCGCCCGTCGTGGAAGAAGGTCAAGGGCCTCTAAGCCCCTGAACGCGATTACCATGCATTTGTACTTGTAGCACTGCATGGTTCGTACCGACCGGCTTGGTGGACGAGGATGGGTGTGGGAGAATACGACGAACACGCAGGAGACAGGCACGAGAACGATACGGAACGAGACCGAGACGGACAAGACGATGATGTAGTGGTAAAGGGTGTATCTAGATGTAACTGAGGTGCTCTAATATATATAAATTGGAATGCGATCGGTGCCGAAGCACGCGAGAGAGAGAACAAGTTGAGGTTGAAAGGAAACGAGTCGGAAAGAATCCATGCGTGGGCCTTGGAGATTGAATCGCGAGATCGGTCTTGTGTGGCGCTGGGCCGGAGCGTCGGCCGTCCCATGATAATTGCCCTGAAGTGAAATTTGCGGAGCTATCTGCCATAGCGTAGATTATTTACCTCTCTCTCTCAAGTTGGCAGAACACGGCGCCTTGGCCAAGTATTGTCGTGCTGCCTTTGAGACCTAGGGCATGAGAAAGAGTCCAAGAGATGTTTACCCTGTAATTGGTGGTTACGCAGTCAACCAATAACGGTTAACGGACGGCCGTGTTCAATCTCACGCACTGGGCGAACGAGTTACAATGACAAACCAGCTGGCTGACTGAGGAGTCCAGAGATCACGTGAGTAGTCGATATTGACCGTGAACTTCAAATTCGGCGTCTGTGGCGAGCATAACATGCCCTCGCTTTCCAGAGCAACCCCCCACACCTCTCTTCCCTCCCACATCTGCACCCCCTCTCAATAAAGCGCAGAAAATGGATCATTTCGGCAAAGGTGACTCTATCACGACGGATCCACCCTCTCAGGAGAATGTGGAGAAGTCGGACCTGAGGGCGTCGCCAGTCGACTCTCAGGTAGATGCGGACACCGCTGCCCCTTCAGGTGAGTGTGGTGGACGCTGTGCCTTTCATTTGCACTCATGGCCGAAATCCACAGCACTGATGAAGAAGCTTGGCATATTGGATCGGCTTCTCTCTCCTGCCATCCTCATCTGCATGGTCGTCGGCGTGCTCATCGGGAACTTTGTCCCCGGCGTTCAAGAGGCGTTCGACACAGCACGCTTCCAGTCCGTCTCTGCTCGTACGTCCTCCGTATCCTTCGCATGCTGCCAACGCTGAGCCCACCCACCCAGCGATCGCCACGGGGCTGCTCGTCATGATGTGGCCCATCCTCACCAAAGTCCGGTACGAGTCCCTGCCCGCGCTGCTCCCGACGCGCACCATGGCGGTCCACATCGCGCTCTCCCTCGCCCTCAACTGGCTCGTCGCGCCCTTCGTGATGCTCGCCCTCGCCTGGGCCGCGCTGCCCGACCTCCCGACGTACCGCACCGGCGTGATCATGGTCGGCCTCGCGCGGTGCATCGCGATGGTCGTCGTGTGGAACGCGCTCGCGCGGGCGACGGCGAGTACTGCGCCATCCTCGTCATCGTCAACAGCGCCCTCCAGGTCGTCCTCTACGCCCCGCTCTCCCTCCTGTTCGTCAACGTGCTGGGCGGGGGCGGGGGCGTCGAGGAAACTCTGCACGTGTCCTACAAGGACGTCGCGATCTCGGTCCTCATCGTGCGTGTCTTCTGCCTCCTCGATCCGATCTTGGTCATCGCTGACGGCGCCCGTGCTGCAGTACCTCGGCATCCCGCTCTTTGCGGGATCGTGACGCGCTTCGTTGTGCTTAAGACGACGTCGCGCGCGTTCCTCGAGTCCCGCTTCCTGCCGTGGTTCTCGCCGCTCGCCTTCATCGGGCTGCTGTACACGATCGTCGTCATGTTCGCCTACCAGGGCCACCACATCGTGCACAACCTCGGACCCGTCTTCCGCGTCTTTGTCCCCCTCGTCCTCTACTTCGCGCTCATGTGGTCCGCCGCGTTCGCGTTCGTCTGGTGGTGCGGGCGCCGTGCGCGGCGGCGGCAGGTGGCTGGGGCTGCGGGCCCGGCTGGCGGGGGCGTCGAGTGGTCGTACGAGATGGCGGTCGTCCAGAGCTTCACGGCTGCAAGCAACAACTTCGTGAGTGGGCCGAACTTAGTCCTTGTTGAAACGAGAGGGCTCACAGAACGCCCTCGGGACGGCAGGAACTGGCGATCGCGGTCACGATCGCGGTGTACGGGGTTGGCTCGGACCAAGCATTGGCCGCTACGATCGGACCGCTCGTCGAGGTTCCCGTGCTGCTCGGGCTCACGTGGGTGGCGTTGTTTTTGAAGCGGAAGCTGAAGTGGTCGGAGAGAATGCAGGGAAGCGCCGCCTAGGGGAGATTGGGTGGGTAGGGTGACTAGAGACGCGCAGCCGTTGGAAGAAAGAGGGTGAGCGATGTGCCCTCAGTTAGTACTTGATAGATCCATCCCATTGCTCACACACACCAGGAGCCAGTGCGATGTGTAGTGCCCTTGCTGCAAGGAATGCGCAGCGAGCCATCGTACTAGGACCTGGTGAGACTGCACATTCCGCGCGAAGCGTAAAGGCATGGCACCGGCGACAGCACTCCCGGATCCTCGGGGTTAGCATTCCACGCGGGAGAACGAGCCACAAGTGCGGAGGACCCACCCCTTGTGATCGTGGACGCGGTTGGCAGAACGACGAGTTTGCCCAGTTGCGCGCATACGCGCGCCTGTTGTGGAGCAGTTCGACGAATGGCATCTCGAGCACCCAAAGAAAGACTCGGACGAGCTTGATATATTCTGGCACTTCACGAGCGCGATGGCGCAATTTCGTGGGCCGTAAGCACACATACGTTTCCCGGTATGACCGCACGGGCCGCTCTCCAGTCAACGTGAACGCGAGTCTGGACGCGTCTGGACGCGCCGTGCGCGTGAGGAGGGGTGCCGGGGTGATAGGTGGAGGACTCACCATCAAGCACACCGGGCGAGGACTGTCCCGGAGATGATATGGACCACGAGTTGCTCAGTGAGCGTATGCATCGAGAGACGGGATTAGGGGGGTGACGAACGTTTGAACATCGGCCCGCTCATTGTGTGGAGATCGTGGCTGCATCCTGGCAATGATACCCTCAATGCGAGCCTCATGCAGATACAAGCGGCGACGCACCTGTGCCTTTGGACTACCACGGGTTTTAAGACGCTACAGCGCAGACCAAGGCTGCGAGGGAGAGGGGCAGATGGGGGTGCTGAAGTCCTGCGTTTCCCCAGGGGCAGAGATACGCTCGTGCGGGACGCGTCCGCCCCCAAAGTAGTCGATGAGGACGGGCCTGTAGCCGCCGGCCACAGAGGCGTCGGCGAGGAGCTAGTGGGTCAGAGAGATGGTGGGCGTCGCAACGTAACAGTTGAATCCGCTGACCTTGGCGCTGATGTTTGCAAGTGGAAGCAAGCAGCGCACCAAATTACGTGAGGAGACACTGGCCATCCTTGCACCGACCACGCCGCCTTTGACAAGCTATATAGTTGCTTCCACTGGGCGGAACGCGGCGGGGCCATTTTTGACCTCGCGCTGGAGGAGCTCGTTCTCCTGCTCGACCTCGCTGGTGGGGATCGGCGGCGGGGGGATCGTGATGCGGGTGAAGCGGGCGAGGTCAAGGGCGGACGGCGACGCCGAGAGCCAGAGGGACATGCAGGAGGTGCGGCTGCAGCGGCTATGTACCGCTCCGCCTCGGGGACGCGTGAGAACCGACGCCCTCTCCTTGCAACGTCCCCTCTCTTAGTGTTGCGATGGCTCGGCTCTGGCTCGGCTCGGCTCGGTCCCGGGCAGCTCCGAGAGAGCCGGAAATGGAGCCGCGACTCCGGAATCGGCTCCAATAGGCTGAGTCAGGGTCCGAGCTGCTGAAGCCGTCACGAGCCACAGTCTTCAATTGGCGCTGGGAACGACACAAAGATTTTTGTTTTACGACGCAACCATGAAGCATCACGACTGTAGAACCACTTTTTATGTACCTCCATGAGGTGTAGGGGGCTTTAGGATTGTTATGAGGGTGATCGGACGAGGTTGACCAAAAACCCAAATTCCAGGCCAACCAGCTGGATTGGTTTCCAAATGTGCCCATTTGCACCAATTGAGTTGCACACGCAGTAACCTGGCCCAAGTCTGAGCACATTCGGACGAGCATGAAGAGCTGGTGCCTCTCCCTGCCAGTTGGAACCACCACCTCACGACAGTGACTAATCCTCCAAGCGGACATGTTGAGAGGTGTGCGTTGCTGTGCATCCTCCAGGACGCACAGGTGCACCTCAACGAGTCCTCCGGGTCCTGACACATCTGTCTGATGTCACAAAGTCCAGGATTGCAACCCCTGATGCATGCTCCTGACCAGTCAATGACTGTACGGTGCTAGCCTGTCTCACCAGGCTGTACAAGAACACGGTCTATGGATAAGCGCCCCATCTCGGCTCCAACCAGCGGCTCCAGCATGGCTGCACTTCGGCCCTTAGCGTCTAATAATCAGCTCCGAATTGGCTCAGGCGGAGCCGGTTGTGACGAATGGCTCGGCTCCGGAATGGCTCAGAGCCGGCTCCTGAGCCGGCTCGAGCCGAGCCCTCCGCAACACTACCCTCTCTTCCTCCCCTCGTCTCCTCGCCCGTCCCATCTCGCTACGACCTCCCAGCCGAACAGTGCGCATGGTGCCCCCATCCGGCCCCCGCCTCACCATCCTTCAACCGAACTCGCCCAGTTTCAAGCGGTCTTCAAACAATATACTCACACGCCCTTACTAATACCACGCTCCTCGATGGGCCATCGGCCGCGAACGCCTGGTCAAAGTGCGCACCTCGCCTACTCTGTCTGCGCTCGACGCCACAACGCCCCCCCTCCCCCCGTAGGGCTGGACATTTGCCTGCAATGCTCCCGGCTCCTTCGCGGTGCGTCCCTCTGTCGTCCGTCGTGCTCCCTTCCACGTTCTCAATGCCGTATGCTCTTCATCTCCCTGCCTTCCCGCGCACTCGCAAACCCGCACACCCGCACACGGCCTCCACGCCCATGCTGCTCTTTTACTCGCCTCGCGCCCGCGTCACCCAACTCGACCGCGTCCACCTCGCCCGCCTCGCCCGCCCGCCTCTCCGCCTTTGGTATCGGTGCCGGCCGAGGTAGGCTTCTGCATCCAGCGAAGCGCTGCAACAGACGCTCCACCGTCATCGCTCTTCGCGCTGAGATCCCGAGCTCCGGACAACCTCCGAAGTCGTTTCCCACCCGCCCTACCCTCCCTCCGAGTCCTTTCCACATCCCGCGCGGGTTGTCCCGCCCAGCCAGTAGCGGGCCACACCGCCGTCCCGGCCTACGCCGGGCCTCGCGCAATTGCTAGGACCGATCGGAGTCAGTGCGTAGAGAGAGAGAGAGACGAGGCTCGACGGTGACCCCGGTCTCGACATGTCGCCCACATCCGTGTCGGCGGCCGCTTGCTTCATGTATGCGCTCGTTGCAGCAAACGAGGACATGGCCATAGACACGCTTCGTTCCCAGTTAGTTAGATCACATTATTTGCCAATATATTTTATCCTCCCCGCACTTCAACTGTCCGTGCCATGTCATGCAGTAACATGGCTTTAATTATGTGTCGGTGAAATACATGCTAGTCTGGCGATGGCACTGGGCTGCTAGTGCCAATTAGTATTTTGTGATTTTCCTGGTGAGAGCTGTTGGCGAGTGCCTTGAAGCAACTTAAAGTTGTCGTTTGAGGCGCGATATCTCACATCGGCTTGGGGTGGTTTCTCAGGTACGTACGTTGCCTGTCTAACAGTAAAAGGCTCGACAAACGGTCCCTCCTGCTGCTCGAGGGCCCCACACTGGTAGATGGCTTCGCTAAGTTCGGCGTTGTCGCCCGAGGCATGATACCCCGCAAAACCTCGCAGTAGTTTCTTGGGTCCGGAGATCGGCGGCGTGGCAGAATCATGCGGTCCCTCCTGCTGCTTGACACCGGACTGGTAGATGGCTTCAGGATCGTCCTTCAATGTATAAAGGTGCTCTCCAACCCACACCCGCACGCTCTCCAATACCCTCCGTGCAGGACTGGCCTTCTGTAGAGCAGGCCGCAATCAGCCTCCGAAGCACGAAAAAAAAAAAACCAAAGACATACCTGCCACGCAACAACCCTGTCCAGCGACACCGTCACCGCGTCCATCCGGCCCATCCACGCCGTCGTCTCCACCCACCGCAGCAGCGCCGACTTCGCGAACTTGTCCAGCGCCGCGTAGGCGTCCTTCGAGTCCTGGTCCGACTGCGCGAGGTGGCCCGCCCAGTGCAGACACGCGTACCGCACGTGTTTCGGGATCTCGGCCGCCACCCGCCTCTCCACGTCTGAGACGCCCGACCGCGCCGCCCTGGACGCTACACGGAGCGAGTTCCGGCGCAGGGAAGACACGAGGGTGTCGAGGCACCCGGCGGCGATGCGTCCGTGCTCGCGCACCGTGTTCACGAGGTACGGACCCTTGTTGTACTTTGGGTGGATGTCGACGAGGAACTGGGAGAAGGTGACGTGGATGGGGCGGAACGCCGCGTCGAGGTCGTTGCGGTCGAACACGACGACGGAGCGAAGGCGGCGGAGAACGGATACGGATGTTTTCGTGGGAATAGACAGCAGCCTTTCGAGGTCGTTCGGCGAGAGGCAGTCCTTCAGGAGCGCGATGGTCCCGAGCATCGTCTGCACACGATCCCGCAGCGGCTCCTCGATCTCCAGCCAGTGTCTTGGGAACGCAATCTCGAGCGCCTCGAGGTAGAGGTCGTTCAGAGGCCCGACCAGTTCACATCGCTTGGGGTTGAAGAGGAGATAGTACTCTGCGCGGTCTTCCACGTCCTCGGGGTATTCACCAAGATAATTGACCGCCGTGTCTGCGTAGACCATGAGACCCTCAGAGCGCTCGGCCAAACGATCGACGAGGTCGCTGCGGTTCCTCAGCATATTGTGGCCTGGAATGCTGTTCGCCAGCCGGTCTTTAAGGAACAGCTTGACGTCCTTAAGCAGGGATGCAGGGGACTGGTTATTGAGGTCGAGGGAGTAGATCTTGTCCTGCGGAGAGTCGATACTGGCATATATAGCTCTTTCGACGGCATCCAAGGGACGACTCGTGAACAAAATCTTGACGGGAAAGCGTGCGTGCTGCGCACAGTCGACGAGGAGCTTGACCAAGAGACTGGGGAGAGAGCGGTCCACGGGCTCGACGCATTCGTCGAGGGCGTCGACGACGAATACGATGGGACGATGCGAGGGGTCGACGAGTGACAATGGCGTGGTCAAGAGGGCCTCCGCTTCGTATTTCATCTGTTGACTGTGGCCGCGTGCAAGATACGTATGGACGGCGTCGACGATGAA